TAAAAAAGTCATCAAAGCACGCTTGTCTTTCCTTTTTTAGGATCAAACCTGCCTAACTCTCCCCAAACACACAAAAAACCAAAGCCCACAGGAGTACTTCCTGTGACCAAAACCTGTCTGGAGAGGATTCAAGGAGAACAGCAAGATGAGGGGGAAGCAGATCCGTGGACAGCCATCTCCCACCGCCAGTCACTGGAAGAGACCAAAAATGAAGGAAGGGGCAGCATCGGTTCCTTGGGGTGTAAGGATCGATGCAGTGGTTTCTGCTTTGGGCAAGTCATGGAATCTCTGCAGGCCTCTGCATGTGAAGGAGCTGGACTACAGCTCAAACATCATGGGGTTTCAACTGAAGTAGTAAAACACATCATTCTGGATCTCCCAATATCCCCTTAAGCTAAACCTAAGACTTCTAAACAGAGCTTTCCACTACTGATGCCCATCTGGGTCATATTTCCCACCCCACCTTATCTCCTTTTTTCCCCCCTTAAAAACAAAACTCTTTTTATTCAAACAAAACAGTGCTGTTATGAATATTTTGGTGTGTATCGGACCTTTCTTTCCATTTCTAACCTCTCTGGAGGACACGCCCAACTGTGGGATCCCTAGGTCAAAAGGAATGGGCATTTCACTCCCTTGTCCATAATTTCAAATTGCTTTCTACAGTGGCTGGGCCAACAATAGACTGGCTGGCCTGTCTTCCCACAGCCGCTCCAACGTCTGCTTTTCCCATTCTTGTGTCCCTTTTGCCTATTTGTTTGGCAGGTCTCATTCTCAAGTGAATCCCCAGGTGGAGCAGGAGACAGTGACTGTTTCCTTTCACCGACCCAGTCAGTCACATAGCAGGCTATTGGATTTTAGTTTCTCTGCACTCCCACTGACCTCTACGGTATCTTGCATGTACAGATATCACTTCAGGATCATTCTTAAAGGCAGGCAGATGAGTCCCCTCAAAGCAGGCTTGGAACTTGCATTTTGATTTTGGACTAGTTTAACCAGCGACAGCATTATTTTCCTCCCCAGCAATGTTTCATCTCGAGTTCTTCACTGCCTCTGCCCATCCAATGAATCAAGAGGTTACTGCAACTAAATTTTTTTAGGCCTCCTATATCTCCCCTGATTTCCAATGATAGTCTGGTATTCTCCTACGATACTCAGAAAATTGATTTCAAAAAAGTTATTTCCCATCTACATTCTTTAATGGGGTTGGAATGTCACTAGCAAAAAAACAGTTTTGGATTTTTCAGTGCCTCCCTAGCTAAACCATCTTCCCTAGTCCTGTTCATGGTGTCAGTTTAAATGGAGTTTACAGACTGCACCTGAAAAGTCTCTAAAACAGAATTTCACCCTCAATTATCCACAAGGCCTAGGCTTATACACTAGTCAGGTGAAGCTAGAAATACCTGTGGGCTTTTTTTTCCCACTTTGACCAAAACCAAACCAAACCAAAAAAACCCTCTGGAGACCAAGAAGCAACAATTAAGTGTGGGAGCCCTTAGGCCTAAGAACCAACCTCAACAATAATAACATTTCAAAACATCTGTTGATGTTACCAGTGTAAATACTGCCTCCACCAAAGTGGCTGATAATGCTTCTATGCCTTAATAGAGGGTCTTCATGAGCTGCTGTGGCCAAGAAGCCCTAATCACTTAGTAGGCAATCTTCTGGCCTCTTTGGACCTTCACCGGTAGAAGGAGTCTTCCTCTGACAGGAGAGAGAATGCATCCCTGGGCCCACAGTGGGGGCCTCTCTTTCCCAGTAAGATCTTGCAGACTATGTTCCACTGGTATATCCTCCAAGACTCTAGGGTCACCTCCAAGCCATGAAGAAGTATAGAAGGACTTCAGTGGAAGAATAATGCCAACACTTAAGAGATTTCAATGTAACTATGACCTGATTTATGTGAGTACACTATCCTACACAATTTCCCACATGTAATTCGGGCTGTCATCTTTCTCCTAGTCAACTCTAGAACCTGTTCGTTGCCCACCTGCGGCATCTGTTTCAGATGGATCAGCTAAATGGACTACCTATCCATCACGGTTTTAGACTGGACAATGGGCATTTTCCATCCATTTGGTTATTTCCTACATGGCTAGTTAGGCCAAACATTTAAGACGTTTTTGGATCTCATTTAAGAGGCTCTGCAGTTCTGGGGGGACCTGCATGAATCAGCCACTGGGTATACCTAGAGGAACTATATCAACATAGAATCCCTGCCATTTCTTATCTGGCCCAAATGAATTGCCTTCTCAGGCACCGAAAGAACTGGCAGATGCCATTCCTCATCGTCTGTGATCTTTGAAAGACTGGAGAATGAGAATGGTACCTCAGAACTGAAGGCGGCCAAATGTTGTCTCGATTTAAAAAAAAAAAAAGGGAAAAGAATGGAGTCTGCAAACCATAGGCCAAGAATTTCTGACAAAATTGTTGTTGTTAACAGCCATGATTTATGAATAAATAAAAAGCACTTATTAAGCATTTACTAAGTGACAGCTACAAAAGGCAGTTCCAGCTCTCAAGAAGCTTACATTCTAGAGGGAGAGACAACATTATATAGAGTGGGAACAAGGGAAAGGGTGCTATGCCAATTATAAAAATATAAAAATAGCAAATGAAGCAATGAAACAGTCCATTAATACTTCCTTTGTGGAGGCAATAGTAAGGGCAATTTGATGAGCGTTCTTATTTTAGAGTTTTCAATGTGCTACACATATACTTCCTCACTTGATAGTGATGGGATGAGGAGGAAATGTCTAGAAGAAACTCTCTTTACCAAGAGCCAGTATGGCTTCACAGAAGAACAGACCTCAATGCCCAAACTGATTTCCTTTCTTGGCAGGGTTATTAAAATCAGAAGATTGATGCTGTAAATATACTATGCCTCTATTTAGCAAAGCATTTAACAAACTGTCCTTGCTATTCTTGTGGAAAAGATGCTAGATAATAATACTGCTAGATGTATCTGGAATCGGTTGAATGGCTGAACCTAAAGAATTGTCACTGAAGGCTTCTTTACAGCTTGGAAGGAGAAGCCTCAGGAAGGAGACGCCTCAGGAGGGAGACATATTGACTTGGACAAAGGCACAGAGCACACACTTATCAAATTTGCAGATGACAGAAAGCTGGGAGAGCCAGCACAATGGAAAACTGAGTCAGGAGTCAGAGAGCTTTGGACAGACAAGAACATTGGGCTGGAATGAATAAAATGATATCTAGTAGAAATAAATGTAAAGTCTTAGAATTAGTTTTAAAAATCAAGATGCTGGAAGGGATCATGGCTAGACTCAGTCCTTCTGAAAAAGTTATGTTTTAGTGGATCTCAAATCAATGTCAGTGAACAGTGTGATAGGGAAGCCAAGAAAATGAATACAATCTGGGTCTAGGGAGGAACAAGGAAGTGGTAGACCTGCTATAGTCTGCCCTGGAGGTTATAGCTGGAGTGTTATGTTCACTTTTCTAGGATGTGACCCTGGGTGAGCCACTTAACCTGTCTGCCTCAGTTCCCAGTTTATAAAATGGGATAATAAAAGCACCTTGGTGGTTGTGAGGTTCAAATGAGATTGTACATACAAATAGCGCTTTGCAACTGTAAAGCACAACCTAAATGCTAGTTATAATTCTTATCATCATTACTGTGGGCACCACAAGTTAGGAAGGATGTTGCTACAGGCTGGACGGTGTCCCAGGGAGGGCAGCCAAGGCGATGAAGCGCCTTGAGTTCATGACGTGAGGACGAGCTACAGAACTAGAAAAGCCTAAGACTGAAGAGCTGTCACACTGAAGAGGGATTAGACTTATTCTACTTGGCCCCCAAGGAAGGAATAACAGGACGGAGTTGCCAATTCAGGCTAGCCAGTGACTGCAGCTGTCCACAAGCAGCACGTGCTGCCTTAGGAAGGAGTGCGCTGGATCTCCCTGGATGTCTTTGAGCAGAGGCTGGGTGGATGACCACTGTCAGGAACACTGCAGAGGACATGCTTTGCCAGCTATTGGAGGGATGAGCTGGCTGCTGACAGCCCTTCCACATTACAATTCTGGGATCTTAACACATGTTCTGAAGATGTCTTGTTGAAACAGAGCCTTTAAAGATCACATTTTGTTCTGCTAAATCAATTACTTTTTTGGTCAACAAACAAATATGGTGGAATCCTCTATTCTCTATCTTTTGGTGACATGAGTGACGATAAAGACATAGTCTCCTGTAGAGTACCATTTGGCAAAGTCTACCTGTTCTTGTCTATCTTCATCTGACATGCAAATTAATCTGAAAATTAAGTGTAGAGATGAGAATGTAGGCTTATAAGCCTGTAATTACTGATAGCCTCTTAACTATCCTTTTAGATAATGATAATGTCCATGATTTCTTCCAATTTTTCAGCATCTCACATTTACAAAGTAGTTTCCTAACAATCCTATGATGGAATTTTTAGTGCAAACAATATTGTTCCTATTTTACAGATGAAAAAACTGAGGCCAGAGAGGTGAGGTAAGTCACAGTGGCAGAACCAGGACTTCTACCCTTCCCACTCCAGGTTGCTCCTCCCCTAAAAAAAGTAGCTTCGCATCATACCAAGTGGGCACCAAAGTTCTCTCACATGTTGCAAGGAGCAGCTGGAAATGTGACAAAACCAGTGTTTGGCTGTGGTCTGCACAGCCCCATAGAGGCCCGCTGATGGGAGCCTGTCAAAGGCAGCTGGGGCTCCGTCTGTCTCTAGCTTAACTCCTTCCTCCTCTAACTCTCCTCTATCCCTAGCTCCTGACTTATCTTGGGCATGGACTCCACATTAACCCTGTGTGGGCTATTATCCCAAACAGGAGCTTATGAAAGAAAGTGACGGAGTCAACAGATGGAAAATCCTCAGTCACTAGTAATCACTGCTTTGCTGGCTTCTAAGCTATACTTTGAGCACACTTCAGAGAACTTTGATGCCCTGCCTCGTATAAGACACACTAAGGAGGAGCTCTTACAAATTTGCAGAAGAAAGAGGCAAATGACTTTATAAATTAAGCACTTACTTTTTTACTTTAGGGAACTATTAAATTTCAACCGAAAAAATCACGAACATAATTATACAGCATATCACTGGGATTCTGGATGCTCTTGTCTTAGTCCCAGTCTTCATCCTCATCTTCATCCTCATCTCCATTCCCATCAGGGTTATCTTCGGTCGGAGGGTCCTGGAACTGGATATTGGCCAGCAGGTCCCGCATGGCTGCCATCAGCCTGTTCAAACCCTGGTCGAGGTCCTCTTCTGCACCAACCGGATCTATTTCATCTGGTGTATCTTCTCCCTGACAGAAAAAAGAGGTGGGAGGCTGAAGAGGGAACTGTGGATGAGAAGGGGCTTCCTGCAGTAAGTGGGTGTGCCCTGCTCTGCCCTATATAAGGACAGGCCCAAAATGCTTCCACTATAAGAAGACATGCCACACACTGGCACCAAGACAGAAGAAGGTTTTTGTTGAAGAAAATGCCTCGCTCCACAAACGGCACTTCATTTCTAATCTCTGAGGAAGGCCATAGTTGGGAGGGATCAAAAAAAATTCTCAAAATTCAAATACAATAAAAAAAAAATCTAAGAAGCACTAGTCTGTTTCCCCTAGATATTTGTAATGACAAACTATAATACTGGGTGACTTCAAAGTAAATCTAAAGCTTCAAAGACAACTTTCCCTACTAGCATTTGCCAAACAGAAAGGTTCTCTGCTGCACTATTCTAATCAATCATTAGTGTGACTGCTCATATCACTTATCGACAATCCTACATTGTGACCCAATAACTTTAGGTTTTTGCGTATTCTGAATTAGGATGTAACCCCCTTAAAGCAAGAGTTACATCTTAATCAGCCACTCCGCCCAAAAAACACTCATTTGTTTAGTGGCTGTGCTGTGGTCAGGATCCTACTGTAGTCGGTTGTCAGGGAGACAAGGAGCTTGCTTCTTTACCAACCACCACAGCACCCAGCACCAAGCTGCGTCCACAGCAGCTACACGACTCCTGCTATCCTGACTGAGTTTGGTCTGAGAAGAGCAGGAGAGTAAGGATGTCACAGAAATGGCACCAGACTCACTCAACATACCTGAAAGGTAAAATTTGGCAACAATGATCGAAAGAAGAGAGATAATGTGCTTTCATTGGAGTAACGGTTTGCCCTACAAGAGAAAACCAGGAAATGTTAGGAAGTCATAATATTTTTCTTCTTCTAAATGGACCTGTGCATCATGTGGATTTCAGTATATTAGCATAGCCTTGCAAATAATAATCTAAAAAATAATCCTACTCACCTGGACAGTTCTCCCTTTCTGCCCCCAGCAGGGAAATGAAAGACAATCATAAGCAATGGGGGGCATCAGTAGCAGTGAAATAAGCAGGACAGGCGAAAGGAGCTTCGATAGAAAGCAACAGAATGGAACTTGGGGCACCCAGCATTTTGCAGAGGGAACATAAGGTATAGATATTCACATGATATATAGATATTCATGCGTAGACAGTAGGAGTGAAGGTTTACATTCTAGGCTACATTAGTTTCATTCTGGTGCAGACTCATATACGTCACCCCAAAGGAGAAAATAATTCTTATAGTAGGTAGAAGCTTGGGTATACCAATGCTAAGCATAAAGATTTTCCATTATTAAGTATTCTTTTAAAAAAAAAAGAATATACAATTTACAGCATTTGAAACTTAGAAAATTGATAAAAACAGGCAAAGAATTTGCTTTACAAAGTCAGTGGATTCAATATCCTAGCAGCAAGGACCTAAAAAAAAGACCAAAGCTCAGAAAAAAGAGATGGAAAGAGAAAATCCTTTTAAAATAACTCTAGGCAATATAAAATATTTGGGAGTCTACCTGCCAAGACAAACCCACGAACTGTATGAACACAATTACAAAACGCTTTTCACACAAATAAAGTCAGATCTAAACAACTAGAAAAATATCAACTGCTCATGGGTAGGCTGAGCTAATATAATAAAAATGACAATTCTACCTAAATTAATTTACTTATTTAGTGCCATACCAATCAAATCAGCAAAAATTATTCTATAGAGCTAGAAAAAATAATAATAAAATTCATCTGGAAGAACAAAAGGCCAAGAATATTAAAGGGAATTAATGAAAACATATGCAAAGGAAGGTGGCCTAGCCATACCAGATCTAAAACTATATTATAAAACAGAAATCATAAAAACTACTTGGGGCTAAGAAACAGAGTGGTGGATCAGTGTAACAGAGTAGGTACACAAATCACAACAGTAAATGACTATAGTAATCTAATGTTGGATGAACCTAAAGACTCCAGCTTCTAGGACAGGAACTCATTTGACAAAAACTGCTGGGAAAACTGGAAAATAGTGTGGCAGAAACTAGGCAGAGACCAACATCTCACGCTGTAAACCAAGATAAGGTCAAAATGGGTACATGATTTAGACATAAATGGTGATAATATATACAAATTAGCAAAGCAAGGAATAGTTTATCTGTCAGATCTATGGAGAAGGGAAGTACTTATCACCAAACGAGATAGAGAACATTATGAAATGTAAAACGGATCATTTTGATTATACAAACAAAGCCAATGCAACCAAGATTAGAAGGAAAGCAGAAAGCAGGGAAACAATTTTTACAGCCAGTGTTTCTGGTAAAGGCCTCACTGCTCAAATACATAGAGAAGTGAGTCAAATTTATAATATAAGTCATTCCCCAAATGATAAATGGTCAAGAATATAACTCTAGGCAATATAAAATATTTGGGAGTCTACCTGCCAAGACAAACCCACGAACTGTACGAACACAATTACAAAACGCTTTTCACACAAATACAGCCAGATCTAAACAACTGGAAAAACATCAACTGCTCATGGGTAGGCTGAGCTAATATAATAAAAATGACAATTCTACCTAAATTAATTTACTTATTTAGTGCCATTCGTTTCAGATGCAGAAATTAAAGCTATCTATAGTCATATGAAAAAAATGCTCTAAATCACGATTAGTGAAAACTAAATTAAAACAACTTTTAGGTACCACCTCATACCTATCAGATTGGCTAATACAACAGAAAAGGAAAATAATAAATGTTGGAGATGTGGGTAAATCGGGACACTAAGGCACTGTTGGTAGAGCTGTGAACTGATCCAACCATTCTGAAGAGCAATTTGAAACTATGCCCAAAGGGCATTCAAACTGTGCATACCCTCTGATCCAGCAATACCACTACTAGGTCTGTGTCCCAAAAAGATTATAAAAAAGGGAAAAGGACCCAAAATGTCATACAACCACCAAGAAAGGATATACGGCTCTGATGTTTAAGTGACAAATGTCAGAGCTTTATGTCCTTTCTGGGATGCTGTATATTACAATTTGCTTTGTCTTGCACTGGTCCCATCCAAGTCCAAGCTTGGGAGAAAGATGGTCCTCCATGGTCCTAGTAACAGTGCTACTGTGCTGACCTATCACTACCTCAATTTATCTTCTGGTTATGTTGACCTATCCTCTGCTAATTCTGCATTGTGGTTTTTTTTCAAAGTCATCTTCCTGTAGTATCTGGCTAACTTCATGTACCAGCCCCAAGGGCCAAGGACTACCTAACCTTTTCATCTGTCATTTCTTTTCCTGAATCCTTGATATAATATGCTTGGAGTGTTACATTCTTAAAGTTAATGAAGTTACTGTAAATATCATAGAGGGGCCTCAACCAGCCTCTGCTCTCTCCAGCCCATACCCAGTTTAACCACTTGGTCACCATAATACTCCCCCCTGTCTTAATAAATCCAACAGAATAAGGATAATCAACAAGTAAGACAAGTCAGCAAGCATTTATTAAGTGCCTACTATGTGCTAAGTACTGTGCTATTGGCTGGGGATACAGAGAAAGGCAAAAAACGGTCCTTGCCTTCAAGGAGCTCCCAGTCTAATGGTGCTATGCACAAACAAGACAAGATGGGATAAATTGCTGGTAGTCTCAGAGGAAACGCACCAAGATCATGGAGAACTAGGGTAGGGATCTGTGACTTCAGTGCTATGGTGAACACTCGGATAAGGAGATTCCTTCTACCAAAGCAGATCAGCTCCTTCCCTGCAACTTCACAGCGTCAGAGAGTAGTTCGGGGCATTGAGGAGTTAAGGGATTTGCTCAGGCTTTCACACCAGTATGTGTCAGAGGCAGGCCTTAAACTTGGATCATACTGGCTTCAAGGCTACATCCTTGTCTACTAAGGAGCTTTGCCTCAATAAATGTAAAAGAGTAAATGGTTACTGTACACAAGAAATAGAGTACGTGGTCTAGGGTCCCAAACTGGTCCCCGGCTATCAGCCTGTAATCATCTCCTAGAGTATTATTTACATGTCATTTCCTCTCCTGTGGATGCCATGAGGCCGCGTTAAGTGACTTGCCTAGGCTCACACAGCTAGTAAGTGAGGCTGGATTTGAATTCAAGCCTTCCTTACTCCAGGGCTGGTGCTCCATCCACTGTTCCATCTAGCTGTGTCCTTCCCCCCACCTCCCTCTATTTTATATACTGTGCAAGAAGGGATGGGAGGGAGGGAGAAAAATTTAGAACTCAATATTTTGTCAAAATGAATGTTAAAAATTACCTTTACACATAATTAGAAAAATAAAATACTATTTTTTTTAAAAAAATATTTAAAAAAAATATTTACAGCAGCTCTTTTTGTGCAAAGAATTGGAAATTGAGGGAATGCCCATCAACTAAAGAATGGCTGAACTAGGTGTGGTGTATGAATGTAATGGAATACTACTGTGCTATAAGAAATGACAAGCAGGCAGATTTTAGAAAAACCTGGAAAGACTTACATAAACTGATGCTGAGTGAACTGAGCAGAACCAGGAAAACATTATACACAGTAACAGCAACATCGTGTGATGATCGATTATGACTGACTTAGCTCTTCCCAGCAATACAATGATCCAAGACAATTCCAAAAGACTCATGATGAAAAATGCTATCAACTTCCACAGAAAGAACTATGGAGTCTGAATGCTGATCGAAGCATATTTTTTCACTTTTTTTGTGTGTGACTTTTCTCTTTTGTTCTGTTTCTTCTTTCACAACATGACTAATATGGAAATGTTTCCAAGACTGCACATGTATATATAACCTGTATCAGACTGCTTGACGTCTTGGGGAGGAGGAATGGGACGAAGGGATGGAGAAAAAAAATTTAGAACTCAAAATCTTATTTAAAAAAATGGACGTTGAAAACTATCTTTACATGTAATTGGAATTAAAAAAATACTATTACAAAAGAAGAAGCAAGCTTCAGTTGGCACCTTCAAAGGTAGGAGCCACGCTACTGAGATCACCAATCCTTTCAACTCCTTAAGTATCCATTATGGGTAAAAAGGAAATAGTTAAAGATACAAGCGTTAATAACAAAGAGTCTGATGATGAAACCAATATCAATAAACCCAATGCTAATACCAAACCCCAATCACAGAAGCATCACCAGACAATACACACTTATTAAGCACCTATATGTGCTCTTTGTTGTTCAGTAGTATCCATGACCTCATCTGGGATTTTCTTGGCAAAGAAGCTGCAGTGGTTTGCCATTTCCTTCCTCAACTCATTTTATAGATGAGGAAACTGAGGCCAACACAGTTAAGTGACTTGTTCACGGTCATATGGCTAATAAGTATCTGAGGCCAAATTTGAATTCAGGAAGATGAATCTCTCTTGACTCCAGGGCCAAGGCTCTCTCCACTACGGTGCCACCTAGCTGCCCTATGTACCGGTACCAGCACTATACTAAGTGCTAATTATACAAAATAAAGGCAAGACACTCCTGGTGTCTTGGTCTAATAAGGGAGAGAACATACAAACAACTATGGACAAACAAGCTAGAGACAGCATAAACTGGAGAGAATCAACAGAGGGAAGGGTTCAAGAAAGACTTCCTGTAGAAGGTGAGATTCTGATGAGGAAAGAGAGCATTCCAGCCTTGGGGAACAGCCAGAGAAAATGCCTGGAGCCAATGGCAGGGGATGTGTTAGTTATAAGAAGACTGGAAAAGTCTGTGTGCTGGGGGTGGGGGGAAGAGAAATTATAAAGGACTTTAAATGCCAAATATTTCATATTTGATCCTGGAGGTGATATGGATTTGGCGGGGTGGGGGGGTTGGGGGGGGGAGTTGCTCACACGACCAGACCTCTGCTTTAGGAAAATCACTTTAGTGGCTGAATGGAAGATGGACTGGAGTAAGGAGAGACATGAGGCAGGCAGAGCCACCAGCAGCCATTGCAATAATCCAGGTGTGAGGTGATGGCAGAGGGGTATTAGGCAGAGAGCAATGTCAGAAGACAGAAGGGAGCATATTCAAGAGACACTGCAGAAGTGAAACTGACAGTCCTTAGCAACAGAAGTGATATGAGGGATTAATGAAAATGAGATGAGAACGACACCTATTTTTCAAGCTTGCTTGACTAGGAGGATGGTGGCACTCTTAAAGGTAATACGGAAGTCTGGATGTAGGAGAGGGTTTGTGGGGAAAGATAATGAGTTCATTTTGGAGAGTTTCAGATGCTTGATATCGTCCATTTGGGTTTGCCTCTAGAGATACTGATTTATCTTGTTTGTTATACTATTAAATTTAATCATTGCATGGTTCTAACAAATTACAAAGGCTGATAAACTGATAAACTCAGCATTGTGAATATTACAACAAACTTCTCTAGCTTTTAAAGGAAAAATAAGATTAACTGAAATAAACCTAAAATAATTCTGGCTTATGCAAGTAAAAGCGAAAAAAATTGCTGTGAATCACCATATAAAATAAATTTTTAATATTGTTCCCAATTAGAAAACACTTACTGAACTGCAAACCATCATAGCCTTCTCACTAAATAACATATTTCTGTCAGATTCAGAACAAAAGTTATCTGAAAATTATTTTTTAAAAACAGCCTTTTCTAACTTGATACCATTAAGCAGTAGGCATTAAAAAAAGCAACACACAATTGCAAAAAAGTTTTGTTTAAAGAGAAAAGTTCCACTGCTATAAATAACTATGAGAACTGCTGGCCTCAACAAGGGGCGCACCGTTGTAGGAGGTGAATGTGTGGAGCCCTGGGACAGATCTCTGTGGCTTCAGAGAGGTGGAAGCAGGCACAAGAACCCCACCTTCTCCCCACCCCTGAGCCCTGGTAAGAAAAGGTGCTTCAGACTCTCCTCCGATCTCTAACAGCCAGCAGCACAGCACAGACCTCCATGTTACCTTATCCTCCTCCTTGCTAATAGCATGAAAAATAAAGCACTCTCAACTCCTTCTACTGGAAGATTTGAAGGGGAAAAAAGGAATCCCTTCTCCCACCCCATGGAAATCTAGGTACGGTTTTAGAGTAACTGTCAAAGGAACAACTGGATTCTCTATGCAGAAATCTGCTTTGCAGTTGTTATTGCAATGTATCTACTGCATCAAGGGATATCTGTACTTGAGTTTCTCCTAATAGATGAAAAGTCTACATGAGTAACATACAGTGAGAACCACCAGAGTGAGCCTCAAGAAACAGGCACCTGCAATTTTAGTAGGTGAAAACTGGAAGACTACTGCTGGCCCAGCAACTCAAAAAGCAACTCAAATGTGTTCATAAACACGCTGCGAATGAAGTCTAGAAAGAGGAATCTGTTAGTCAGCGTATCAATTAATTTCTGCCCAATCAGTGACTCTTTTCTTGTCTCCCGGTCACCTTAAAGCCTATCAAGTGATTTCTTTTCCCCTCTGCTTTTGTCAACACGAAGGAGAATAAAAGCAGCAGCATGAGCAAGAAGGCAAAGGAAAAGGGTGGAAAGGGTACCTTCGAGGTCTGGTGTAGGAAGTGATGGAATCCAGGGGAGGCAGAGGGTCAAACCCCATCACAGGCTGGGATGTCACTTCCTTCAGAAAGGGATACAAAAAGGAAATACCCAGGAAGGCTCTGTTAGTCTGCCTCAATTGGTCTCCACAACAGAACATTTTCAACAGGACATCAAATTCAGAGCAAAAATCATCCACTAACTGCCAGGTTCCCTCAAAATCAGGCAGCTTCAGCCCCAGCTCCCTGTAGTGCGTCTGTTGCTCTCGGGATGGGGTAGGGGGCTTATGCTAAGAGAGCAGCAGACAACAGGGCCAAAGACTCGTGTTGGGGCCTTTCCTGTGACTCCACTGATCTAACTTGCCATTGGTACTTTTCCTCTCAGCACACGTTCTAGATGCACGGACTGCCAAGGTGTGGGTGTGCTTCTGGGTACCTGGTCACCGTTACAGTAAAAATCATCACGGGTCATTGTCACGATGCCTTAGGAACACTGGCCTTGCTGGGAGGTGTGTCATCACCCCACTTCACAGATGAGCACCAGAGTGGCTAAAGGACTCAGCCAGGATCAAATACCTAGTCAGTGCCAGCGGCAGGATTTTCACCCGAGCCCTTCTGATCACAAGTTTAGCATTCTATTCACTACACCACATGGCCTCTCCTACACTGAGCCAGGCTTACAGGCATGTGAGCCGTCTGCTGCAATGCGGCAAGTCCTGCTGGCTGATGCCCAATCCCGAGACAAGGAAGAGGCAGAATCCTTTAAGGACTTCATACAGATACAAAGTCTTTGCCTCTGTCAAATCAGTGATTAATAAAACACTGACTGGAGTGGAAGAACCATTTCAGGGGAGGGAGAAGTTAGCTAAATTGTGCATGTGACACTGTATATACATACAATGCCTTCTTTTTCAGCTGACGGGGATCCTTACCAGAGGCAGGGCTGCGGTAGCCTCCTTCATCTCAGAAAGGATCACATGGCGATAGATATTTCTGGGGGCACTTTGGTACCGGACTTTCCGCCTAAGAAGGGAGGCAGAGGGGAACAGAATAAAGACCAACAAATGAAATAATACATTCTGCAACACTCGAGCAAGACGAGCTCTGGAGAAGACAATGTTCTTCTGCTCAATGGCATAAGCTTCACACTTGGCTCAAAGAGGCATCAAGACGATCCTATGACAGCAGCTTTCTACTTTTCCAAGTATATAATTAATCATCAAAATGAAATGAGCACTTAAGTGCCCATAAATATGCTTGTCCTTCAGCCAATGGCATAAAAAGTCCCAATTTCAAGTTCCACAGAGGTCTTGCTAGAGGAGAGGTGTGTACTTTATAGATACATCTGCTTCTGGGAAGCAGTCAAGTACATTTTCCTGGCAGTGGTGATGTTTGCTATGATACTAGCAGGCATGCTGCCTGAAAAATACACAGAGCAACCTCTGAGACATAATCTGTACAATTCTGCAAATCCTAATGTTGCATGTTTCCTATCACACACAATACATATTCATGAAGGATTACTATGTCACCACCTCCAATACAAAGTCAATTAGAAAAGCCAAACATCTGTGTAATGATTCAAAACTAGCAATGGGTTTTTCTTTCAATTTGTGATGCTCTAAGAAAGATCCAGCAAGGACATTGCCCCCCCCCCAGCATTTGTTTAGTATCCAGCTAATGTACTTATCATGCAATATTCTGAATTATAATCACTTTGTAAATACAAAAAGGTGTGTGCACGTGAAAACACATACACATACAGACACACACACTGCTCTCCTATTCCACAAGATCAGTGACAGCATCTAATCCAAATCTTACTTTTTCCTCTAGTAAACTGGGCAATATTCTAAATACAGAGGCAACATTTCTTAAGTCATTTGGCATAAATCCATCAATTTTGTGCAGTCTTCACCTGGTGCAGAAAACAAAGCTGTGGGTATTCATAAATGAAGGTAGTATGAAAAAGAAAGATGCCTGGTGTTTATCTTATTACACAAGATCTTAGGGAGCAGGGATAAGTTTAAATGTCCATTTCAGTAGGGCCCACACTAACAGATAAGGAACTTTTCTACAAAATAGCTTCTGTTTTCCTTAGCAATAAATGAGCCAGAAAGATGCTTTCACTGCCAATGTGAGCAGCAACAGTGGGACACAGAATTACTGACCTTCTTTCAGATTCTTCCACTATGGGTTCACCAGCATCTACCGTCTGCAGCACTTCTCTGACGTTTGTTTCTAGCCAAGCCATGATGATAGAATCCTTCCAGAGAGAGTATGTCCTCCCAATGTAGAGGGCAACCAGCTGGGTCAAGGCAGGAGGTTGGCTATAGTAAAGAGACCATCCTGTAAATTAATCCATTATGGAGTCAGATCCTGGAAAATGCCCTCTAGTCCTTAATCAGACCCAAAGGCTTATGCCTTGATCTTAGTAAAAAGGTGTTGGTCAGTGTGTGAGATACAATGTCCCTGACTAGTCTGAGGCAGGAGGGTCCCCAAGAGCTCACACCACAAGACCGGTTTTTAGTAAGCTCCCTAATATGTTAGAAGAGAAGGGATGTAAGGAACTGGAAACAAATGCCTCTTGTTCTTCCTAATCAAAGTGAAGAAAAGTACACTAAGTATTTTGTGATTTCCTGTTTATTTGTAGGAAGAATAAATACATTAGAAATCATTGTCTAAAGACTCCTTTGTGAGTTTAGATTTATTTTAATAATGTAATAACAGCATTTTGTTGCCATCATCATACAAGGAAATGTAGCTAGCCACGAACAAGAGCTCAGCTCTGTGCTGCCACCCCTGACTCTCACCCTGTGACTTCTGCTCTGTCCCCACTGCCACGGCATGAGTACAAGCGAAGGTTCAGAGAACCCTTAGCCTGGCTATTTTAAATGACTTCTAAATCCAGTTTATAAGGCACATGCTGAATTGAGTATGCCAAACTGTCTGAGATCTTTGGCTTAGCTGAGTGTGTGACCCTGTTTCCAATTTGGATGCTGCTTGAACCACAGCTTCTGAAATTTTCCTTTTCTTATTCAAAACAGTGACCACAGCAAGATCCATATCACTTATTCAAAATGAAAGAAGCAGCTGTGCAAACGTAAAGTGATATGGCTGCTATCTTTAAATTAAGTTCATTTCCAAGTTTTCTGAATGATAAACTGATATACACATCTCTCTCGGCAGCCAGGGAAAATAGGAGCTGTTGTCTAAACACACCCTCTGACAGGTGTCATCACGCGAGCTCCTAGCACGTCATCAGCTGCCATGGGGAAGAGAGATACACAAGAAAAACATTTGTCATTCTACCTCAGGTTATGATAAGCATGCAATGAATTCCATTTTTTTTTTACCTTATCTGAGTACTGAGTCCAAAGAAAGGGTGAGCTAAAACCGCAGCATCTGGGCGCACACTGCAGCGATCCAGCAGGGGCATGAGAACTGGAAAGGAAAGGCAGAGCTGCTGAGCCTGTTATCACCACCCATCCCTTGAGGCTGAACTCACAAACTCACCACTAGTAGCAGTGGAGTGATGGAAGAAGCCCATCTCTTGGGTATCTCTCTAACCAAAGTTAAATACCCTCCTCAAGTGGCCAGCAGCACAGAGAAGAGCGGAGAGATATGTGGCCAGGCTGTAAGATAAAGACCTGGATCTGCTGCTGTCTTCCTTCCTGGTGGGGTAGAAATAGCCCGTATCCATTTTGATGTCTGTCTAGTTGTTTGCAAGGGGAGAAGGTTGCTCCAAGACTGTTTGGGATACCCCAAACCCCAAGAATTTCCTTATGTTCTGCTAAGAATGTCCCTTTCCACATCTCTGATGAGAGGTGCCATATGATGTCCTAAGAAAATGCAATCAAGCTGTCTTAATTAAAAGGGATCTTATACTTAGTTTCAAGTTGTATGCAACACAGACCATAGGGAAAGATGTATCTGGTAAGCTATGGGGTAGTTTAAATTTTTCTAGAACTGGACAAAAGCAGTGTTGGCTGGCACTGAGCTCCCCATTGGCCCTGTGTAACCAGTATCACATGAGATGTTGCTGTTCCGTGGAAACTTCTTTGGCTTGGCATCATGGGAATTCATTTAGCCTTGCTCTGTCCTAAAGACATGCTTTCCCAGCTGATTAGCTGTGGGACTTCTTAAGTTGGCCACATATTTGGTCTGTAATGTATAAAGAACCGATGCCAGAAGGAGAAAACACAATTTTCAAATGTCTTCCCAGTAATACTGTAGGGCGTTTCCAGATACACAACTACTTAAGTAAAATAAAAAATATGGCAAACGGCAGACAGAAGAGCTTAAACCAGAAGTTGCCATAAATCTGGCTCCCTTTGTTGAAAAACAGAGCCGGATTCTTCCATGAAACACAGACAACTTGGTGGTCTCATCTTCGTCCCTTCTGTTGATGACACAAGAAGGAAAGAAGCATTTAAACTCTCACTATGTGCCAGGCCCTGCACCAAGTGCTTTAAAAACCACAAGAAACCCTCATTTGATCCTCACAACGACCCTATTATTATTATTATTATTCTCATTTTTGCAAATAAGAAAATTAAGGCAAACAGAAGTTAAGTGACTTGCCCAATGTCATGCAGCTGGCTAGTAAGTGTCTGAGGCTGGATATGAACTCAGGTCTTCCTGACAGCAGGCCCAGCACACTGTGCCACCTAGCTGCCTCTTCCCCTTATCTGGCACAGATATGACCGTAGTCAAGAGGGATTTTGAAGAACAACTCAAGAAAACTGCTAGAATAGAAAGTTTCACAGCATGTGAGTCTTACAGAGGGCCAAATTCAGAACCTCTTAACCACAAAAGAGAGGAAGACTTATGGTCAAATCATCAAAATCAAGCTGATTCCAAGGCACAAAAACTGGCATTTCATAGAGATCACCTTTGGCGTATGCACATGAAATACATGCAAAATATCCTACAGGGAACATCTGGAACTCTATTTAAAAACTCACTTCCCTACAAAAAGTCCTAGTGACCATAATAATGTCCTCATCCTACAAACAGGCAGTTCCGTGCACGCTTTTCTGAGACGTGCGCTCAGGCCAAGAAAATTTCCAAATGATCTGTACCAGCCACCACAAACCGATCAGCCAACTGCTGGCTGCGCTAGTCTTAGGGGGGCTACCAGGGGAGGGCCAGGGAGGGGGAGCAGGAGGGACACGTCCACAATCACCACAGCCCTTTTACGTCGCACTGCGAGAACGCATGAGGCGGTCACGTTTCCACGCACCCCAGATCGGTCTGCACGTCAGACCAGCTATCCCAGTAAGGAAGTGTGTCCGTACTTGCTGCTTCGCCCAGGCTCGCCCTCTATACAGTGTCATGTGTACCCAGAGTGACCAGCCTGTGACAGCAGTGCCTCGCGAAGTGTCTGCCCTCCTGCCACAAGCTCAGAGGATGGCCAGATTCACAAGGAAGTGAACTTTTAAACAATTCCACGGTCAGCGTTTGGCTGATCAGTTTTGTCATGTTTCTCAATTCAGTCTTTGGAAGGTAAACAGGGATTCTATGAGAAAATTCCAATGGTAGCAATATTAAATATGAAACACATCAAAAAAAAGATAAGGGAAAGGCTTAAGCTGCTTGAGGTCTGTATCGTGTCTGGCTTCTCGTTATAGCAGACTTGACAGTGAAAAGGTGAGAGAAGAAATACAAGGAGGAGCCACTAAGTGACCACCTGTGGGCAGCCAGGTATGGGAGGACACAGGAAGGTAGGTGGGTAGATAGGTGCTTGCTGGCCAGACGCAGGTGGTGGGGAGGATCCCTCTCAAGGTGCTGCTGCCACCCCTACCATTTTGGCTTGAACAGGGGGAAACATTTCCTATCCCAGTTGTTGGGGCCTGTCTCCCCTGAGCTTTCACTAACCGTTAGGATTCTCTTCTCTCACCTCCTGTACCCCCCACTGGAGCATCCTTGTGGTAACTCCCTCCTTTCCTCAGCTGCCAGACCCAGTGACAGCTCCACTGACAAGGAAGCCCCTCTTACAGTTACCTAACAGGCCAGCAAGTCTCTCTTGCCTCATTTCCAAAAACATACAGAAACGAGTCAAATTCACAAAAAGAAGAGCCATTCCCCAATGATAAACGGTCAAAGGATATGAATAGGCAGTTTTCAGAGGAAGAAATTCAAGTTATCAACAGCCATATGAAAAAAGGCTCTAAATCACTATTTAGAGAAATGGAAATTAAAACAACTCTGAGGTACCACCTCACACTCATCAAACTTGCTAAGCTGATAAAAAAGGCACAATTTATAAATGCTGGTGGGGATGTGGAAAAGTAGGAACACTTATACATAGCTCAAGTTGTGAACTGGTCTAATCATTCTGGAGAACAACTTGAACTACGTCTAAAGGGCTACAAAACTGCATACTCTTTGACCCAGCAATACCACTACCAGGTCTGTACCTCAAAAACATCAAAGAGGGGCAGCTAGGTGGTGCGGTGGATAGAGCACCAGCCCTGAAGTCAGGAGGACCTGAGCTCAAATCCGACCTCAGACCAAACACTTCACACTTACTAGCTGTGGGACCCTGGGCAAGTCACTTAACCCCAAATTGCCTTAAAAAAAAAAAAGACCTATTTGTAAAAAAATATTTATAGCAGCTGTTTTCGTGGGGCAAAGAATTGGAAACTGAAGACATGCTCATCAATTGGGGAATGGCTAAACAAGCGATAGTGTATGAATTGTGACAGCCAAGGCAAGAGGGGCTGTGGGAATACAGACCTATTTATACACCACTGGTGAAACCGTGAATTGGCATGGTCATTCTGGAAAGCAGTTTGGAACTACACACGAAAAATTACCAACCATATATACCCTTTGACCCAGCAAAACACCTACTAGGATTATACTCCAATGAAATTAAAAAAAAAGAGGAAAATGTCTTATAGTTATAGTAGTTATTTTTGTGATGTGGATGCTTGTCAACTGGGGAATGGCTGCCCATATTATGGCAGATGAATGAAATGGAATACAGCTATGATGTAAGAAATGATAAATGTGACAGTTCTGGAGAAGCTTGGGAAACTTTGTATCACCTGATACGCAGTGAAGTGAGCAGAATCAGAACAATTTCTACTCTAACGTTATAAAAATGAATAATTTTGAAAGACAAAGATGAAGAATGTTACCTATTTCCTGACAGAGTGGTGATGAATAAAATATGCAGAAAGACACGTTTTTGGACATGGCCAATCTGGGAATTTCTTTTGCTTGACCGTGCATATTTGTTACAAGGGTTCTGTTTTTCTTTTTTGCCAGTAGGAAGGATGGGGAGGTGTGAAGAAGTAAAAAAAATGCTTAACTGAAAAAAAAATTAATGAAAAGGAAAAAAAAGGATATCATACCTTATTAAAGACTAGCTATACTGCTGAGGAATATGATCATGCTCAGAAAACCAAGTCTTTCAAATAATGATATATGACTCAACAGAATCAAAAGCCCAGCACATGCTTCTTTCCTGTGATCTCAGGATTCAGGAGGCACTGGCTTAAGGTTGCACCCAATAAGCCATGGGGTGGCTTTGCCTCTAAGGCTTTATATAAAGCAGCTATGAGTAGTTTCACAGGAACCCTGCTTGGAGCTTCCTGACTAGCGAGCTTAGCTTCCAGTGTGGCTCTTTGCCGGGCATGTTAGACAGGTACACCCCTTGCCTACCAAAGAGCTACCAAAACTTACCGCCAGGGAACATGATGAGTGCCTGCCGGATTAGGCGAGAGGCATTCTCCCTTGCAGAACTCAGTTCAACCTCTGGGAGATCATCTTGCTGACTGAGAAGAAAATATGCCAGTGGAACGGAGAAAGCAAAATTTGGGAGCTGGGACAAGTTTCGATGACTCTATAAACGATAAAGAAATGAGATTTTTGACTTGAAGGAGGAGAAGACAAATACACATTAAGCCAATAGTGGATTATGCTATTGTGGATCAGCCTCTTCAACAGACATGGGTAAGGGCTCCACACTGCTTAACAAAAACATTTTACTAGTCTGTTTTTACGATGAAAATAAACTTAACGGAAAAAATATCTTGCAACTGGGTACAAAAAAAATTTATACAAATATAGGCTATGGGAGACATGGCCAGATTGCAATTCACATGGAAAAGTTCTTAGACCTAAAAGGCAAGCACACTGTAAGTCACCTGTATGCCGTGGCTGCAAAAAATGTCAATCCAAGCTTAGGCTGCATTAAATAATGTCTAGTACTCAGAATGGGGGAGGTCATAATCCCCATTACTCGGTTCTGAGACACAAGTGGACTGTTAAACTATCCAGCTCTCAGCACTACATTTTAGGAAAAGCACTGTTAAGCAGCAATGCATTCAGAGAAAGATGACCAGGATGTGAAAGAACTTCCAACTAGCCAGCTAAATTCTGGTTGGACGAATTGGGACCATACAAGCTTGGAAAAAAACTAAGGATATGGTCACTGTCCTCAAATATTTTAAAGGTTGTTATTTAGAAGAAGGAATAGTTTGTTCTGTCTGGCCTTAGAAATAACTATAGGAAGGCATATTTTCACTCAATATATGAAAAACCTTCTTACCAAAAGCTACTGATTAACAAAAGGTACGAGCCACTTTAAGAGGGAGTCAAGTTCCCCATCACTAGAGATAATGTGGATAGCCTTTCAAAATGGGATGTTACACATTAATGTTTCAGGAAGGAGATGAACTAAATGACGTCTCAAATGCTTTCTAACTTCAAAAGCAGTTATCGTTCTCAGCCTTCACTCCTGCATGCTGTTTGTTTAATTCCTGGGAAAATGCCCAGAACTAGACATGCTAGGAACATCTACAAGTCTTAGGAATGCTATGGAGCCTACAGGATCGTGGAGGAGCGTGAGGAGATGAAGACTGGTTCAGAGGCAGGAAGAAGCATTATGCAAGCTTAACAGCTACAATGACAAAAACGGACAGCACATTATTTTCAAAAAAATACCCTGTAAGTATTATTATCACCTCCATTTTACAGATGGGAAACTGAGGCTCAGAGATGTGAAGTGATTTGCTTATGACGGGACGTGAACCCAGGTCCTTCTTGATCCCTGATTCCAGACCCAGCCCTCAAGCTATCACATACTCCCTAAACTGAGAAGCTATGTCAGTTATTGACAATTCAGCTGCTTAAGAAAACAAAGAAGGATTTTAAGAAGTGAAGGAAAGAGGAAGATAGAAGGAAGAAAAGAGAAAGAAAACAAATCCCATAGACAGGACGATGTGATCGCCTCTTTTCACTTGAGGAAGACATATGTAGCAAAATTATAGCCAATACATTGTCTAACAGACTCTAAAAAGATTCTGAAGGACTAGAAGAATGGACTGAATTTAACAAAACAAAATTTAAGAGTGAAAATGTGAAGTTCTGAGTTTGAAAGATCAATTCCATTAGCACAGTATGGGACAGCAGTTCCGGTGAAAAAGAATTTATGTGCCCTTTGTACAGTGAAATGTTTACGTTTGTTGATAAGTTTTTAAAGGGGGAATTTAAACTTTTTTGAAAGAATTAATAAATTTTAATTGATGGCCATCAAAAATGAGCAGTATGATATGGCTGTGAAAAAGGTTAATGCAATCTTCGGCTTTATTTAGTAAGTGGTGCCCAGAACAAGGAAGGGATCATCTCCACTACACTGTGCTTAAGTCAGAATGCACTCAAAGCACTGTATTTCTTCGAGGCACCACACTTTAAGGACTGACAAAATGAAGTATATCTGGGAAGGTAATGAGAATGGTAAAGGGACTGCAAAGCATGTCCTATGAAGACTAGTTGAAAGAACTGGGGATGATTAATCAGAGAAGAAAAGTTTAAGGGAGATATGATACCAGTCTTCACAGATATAGATATAGATAGATATAGATAGATATAGATCTATAGATCTATAGATCTATATCTATCTATATCTATCTATCTATCTATCTATCTATCTATCTATCTATCTATCTATCTATCTATCTATATATATATGTATGGCAATAATCAAGCAGTGGGATTAGATTTAATTCTGTGTTGTTCCAGAGAAGAGAATTCAGATTTGGTTAAAAAAAAATTGCAGTGAAATAGATGATTTTCACTCAACATGATAACCTTCAAGCAATGAGGGCTTTTTTTATTCCCCCCTTCCTTTCCTTCCTCCCTTCCTGGAGAAAACAAACAATTTTATTGTAATTACATATGTGAGGTCATGCAAAACATATTTTCATATTAGTCATGTTGCAAAAGGAAAAAATAATAAAAAATAAAGATAAAGAAATTATAAAAATCATGCTTTAATCTACATTCAGAGTTCTTTAGCTTTCTCTCTCTGGAAGTAGAGATTATTTTTCACCATGGGTCCTTTGGAATTTTCCTGAATTGTTGTCTTGATCACAGTAGCTAAGTCTTTCATAGTTGATCATCCTTACATTATTGCTATTACTGTGTATAATGTTCTCCTGCTTCTGTTCACTTCACTTTGCATCAGTTCACATAAATCTTCCCAGATCTTTCTGAAACCATCCTGCTTGGGGCTTCTTATAGCACAATAGCGTTCCATCATATTCACATAGCATAACTTGTTCAGCCATTCCCCAATTGATGGGCATCTCCTTGATTTCCAATTCTTTGCTACCACAAAAATGGCTGTTAAAAGTATTTTCATATTAATAGGTCTTTTCCTATATTCTTTGATCACTTTAGGATATAGACCTAGTAGCAGTGTTGCTAGATCAAAGAGTATATACAATTTTATAGCCCTTTGGGTGTAGTTCCAAATTGTTCTCCAGAATGGTTAGACTAGTTCACAACTCCACCAAGAGTGCATTAGAGTCCCAGTTTTTACACTTTCCCAATGAGGGCTTTTCAAAAATGAAATTAATTATTTTAAGAGTGAGTGAATTCCCTGACAATGACAATAGCAAAGTTGAGGCTAGAATGACCACGTCAAGAATGTTCCAAGGTCATTCACTCGTGGGGTTGAACTAGATGACCTCGCAAGTCCTCTCAAGAACTAACATTCCGCGATTCAAAAATTCTCACGACTCACCTCCCATTCCTGGAACATACGTATTAGGAACCCATAATCCCTGGCTCGTAACGCCAGCAAATCAATAATCAGCAACAAGCAGAGGGGGTCATTGTCTGGATCGAGGCTGAGAAGGGAAAATGAACAAAAGAAAGAAGCCGTTATGATCTTGGCACAAGAAAGTAACTTACAGTTGCAACAAAACTCACAAGTACAATTATTCAGCTCTTCCTTAGCAGGGTGAGTTCCTTCAACCATCTTAAATGAACAGATCACTGTACAGTCATTTTGAAGACACAAGATGTCTCATGACTCAAATGCGCTTACAGATTGGCATACACCTCCATATGGACTGAGCTGTTAATAGCTAGATGTCATAGCAAAGCAGCTTATGGAATCTAGTAACAGACATTTACCTTAGGATAAGTTTGCAGAATTCCAGGGCTGTTCGGGGACAGCCTCTCCTCTCCAGGAACATCATGTGCTTGAAGAGAACCAGGTAGAAAGCTCTAGATAAAGAAACAGGTTATGCAGACTGAGTTTCATTAAAGTTTTGGCCAAATAATTTAAGCTCTCAGATCCCATTTCCATCTAAAAACAAAACAAAACAAAACAGGGATAGTATTATCTGCTTTGTTTCCTTTCCATGGTTGTTGTGAAAATCAGATGAGCTAATGCATGTGAAAGGACAGTCAAAATTATCAAGGGTACAGAAATGTAAAGTATTCATTATTTCACACGTGTAAGGTAAAGCAAGTTACAGACTTTATATCATACAACAGGAAGTAAGGTTCTGATTTCTGACCCTCAAAAATTTCATTCTTTTTTTCCTTAGAAGTCTTGACTCCAGAATTTAAAAGCAAAGAAGCGAGGAAAGTCACTTATTACTTATGTAATACTGACCTTCACTTTTGGTTCTAGCAGAGTGAGCGATATGTTTAATATAGGGAGCAGTTCTGCCAGAACCTCTTGTGAATATACTCCGCAATGGGACAGATACACATTTTGTTCCAGACCTTCATGATCTAGAGATGTAGAGAGCTTTGGATCTAAGTTCGTGGAACAAAATCCAAACACAGAAATGAGAAGTCACCAACCTGTTCTCAGTTCTTCGATAATCTAGTCTGCAGGTTCCACTGGTGAGACTAAACAAAGGGTGAAATGCGCATTCCAAACTGTACAAAGCTCTCTCTAAAAACAAGAGAAATACTATTAGGACCCATTTTCATAATGTTCACCAAGTTAAAAAGTCCTTTGCAGCAAAGGTTAATTTGCTATACACACACACACGTAAAATTTTGCAAGCTACCACAATGTATAATCAGGAGCTAGAAAACTGAGATGCCTGTGTCTTACCCCTCACTTGCTAGTGACATTAAGACAGGACTTCTTTGGTACTCGTTTTATGATGGTAAAACCCAGTGGGATTCATCAATGCAATTCCCTTGGTGTGACTAAGGCAATTAAACTTAAATTTAATTTAACATCTGTTAGGTCACTGTTTTGTGCAAATCACTGTGCTAGGTGCTGCAAAGGACAACTGTCCCAGCCACCAAGGAGCTGAACTGGAGAAAACACTAGACAGATCAAGTACAATATTCTTTCTACTCTTATTCAATGATAATTGAGTATTACTGAGGAGGGAGAGAAACACCAGCTACTTAAGGGGTAAACAGGAGGCTTCATGGAGGAGCTGACATCGTAACTGAACTAGAAGAAAGGATTCTGACAGAGAGGAGAAGGAAGTACATTCCAGGCACGGCAGACTGTCACGTGACAGGAGACAGACTGCAGGGTAAGAAAAAGGCTAGCGCTCCAGTTTGACTGTAATGCTGCATTCCAAGGCTGGAGAGTTACGGAGGTGCCCGAGCATGGAGGGCTTTTAATGCCAGGCTAAGGAGTTTGCCTTTTATCCTGGAGGCAAAAGAAAGCCAATTAAAGTTTTTGAGATACAAACTGACCTATGCTTCAGGAAAGATTACTTTGGAAGCTACGTGGAAGATGGATTTGAAAAGGGTAGAGAATGGAGACATTTAGGAGTTATTACAACAATTCAGGGAAGAGAAAGGAAGTGTTGAACTAAGGTGAAGGTTATGTGAGTGAACAGAAGGGAATGGACATAACAGAATTTGCAAAGACTGAACAGGTTATGGTAATGGATGCTATGTGTGCGTCTAATGGGAGGATAGCAGTACTCTCAACAGAAATAAGGAAGTCCGGAGGAAGGGAATGTTTAGGAGAAAAGATGATGAGCTCTTTCTCAGACACGCTGAATTTGAGTCACTGAAAGGACATCAAAGTGGAGATGTCCAGTAGGCACTGAGATATAGGGCTGGAGACAAGAAGAGATATTAGAAGCCGCATAAAGAAATTTTTGGAGGGCAAGTAGGTAGCACAGCAGATAGAGCTCCCACCTTGGAGTCAGAAGGATCTGAGTTCAAATCCAACCTCCAACACTTGATACTTACTATTCGTGTGACCCTGGGCAAGTCACTTAACTCCAATTGCCTCACACACCCAAAAAAAAACAAAAGGAAGAAAAAGTAAAAAGAAAAGAAATTTGGGAGTCATCTACATAGAGATAATAACCAAATCCATTGGAATAAATAAGACCACTGAAAACAAACAGAGAAAATGGATGAGGACAGAGTCATAGGCAATTCACTCATGGTTATGGGACATGAGATGCCTGCTGATCAAGCCAAGAAGACTGAGAAGGAAAAGTCAAACAGGAAGAGGAAAACCAAGAGAGCAATGTCACAGCAGCAAAGAAAGAAAAATTTATCCTTAAGGTATGGTGGTAACTGGTGCTCAAGTTTCAGTGAAGATGAGGACTGAAAGAGGACTTTGGGATTCAGCAGTGAAAAGACCACAAATAACCTTTGAGAGAGTAGTTTCAGTACAGTGGTGGGATGAAAGACAGATCACATGGAGTTCAAAAGAGAATGGGGATGAGTAGATGCAATGAGTACGAACTATTTTTTAGGAGTATAGCAGTGAAAGGAAGGCTAGATATAGAGTGACAACTTCAGAGACTGATAGGATTAGGTTTCTTAAGGAATATTTTATTTGATTCAATAATTTCATCTAAAGTGCTAATAACTAGTAGCTCAAGACGTCAGAATAAGAGTACCTTAACCTGCTGTTCCATGTTGGCAAAAATAATCAGCACTGCCTGACATCTAACAAAACTACAAATTTAGAACCCACTTCTCTTGACACCAAAATGTTCTCAAAAGCATGAGGAAACAGAGAGATTTTTTTGCACACCAATCCAGGAATAAAAACTCACAATCTTCTTCTGCCCACACAAGGTGATACCTGTCCTAGTTATTGCTAACTTTTACCTATAAGATCACGAGCCATCTCCTGATCCTCCTGGAGTCGACATACATCACTGAGCTGGAGCAGTGAGTCTATGTGATAAGGATTTCCCTGGAGCAGAAGCTGAAAATACAGGGAAAAGAGATGGTTGACTATGACATCAAACAACATAATGCTTAATGCAACTGTTCTTCTTTGGAAATTAAGCCTTTGAGTGTACAAATAACATAAAAGCACTCAATTGATTCATATTTCTTTTACAGCATGTTTAAACTTTCTCACATAAGGGACTTCATTTGGAAATCAAAAAATACCTGATAGTATTTAGTATATATACTATATATAGTACATATATATAGTATATAGATAGCTATCTCTCCACCATGTACATCAGTCTATATGCCAGAAGAGGACTTGGTGTCCTGACCTGGTGTTAAGAGGATAATCACAGAATCTCTAAGTGGAAAGAGACTACAAAGGCAATCTAGGCCAACCCACATCTGAACAAGAACCCCCTTCTCCAATACATTCAACAAGCGGTCACCCAACTTTTGCCTGATGACCTCTATCGTGGGGAACAGCTTAATTCCAGAAGCAGTCCTTTCCATCTCTGGAAAACTCTTTAGCCCGCTCCTAGCTCTGACCTTTGTGGCCAAGAAGGTTTAATATCCTTTCTATCTATCAGCTTTTCAAATATCTGAATAAAGCTAACATGTTTGAAGCAAGTCTTCTCTTCCCGAGGCTAAGTATCCCGAGCTCCTTCAAATGATCCTCACATGTAACAATTTCAAGGCCTTTCACCGCAAACGGATTACCCTCTTCTGGATGCTTTCCAGTTTATCAGATAACGTTCCTCCTAAAATGTGGTGCTCAGAGCTCAACATAACATTACAGATATGATCTGATCAGAGAACTACCACATCCTCAGTCCTGGACATTCTGTCTCAATGCCATCAAAGATTATGTTAGCCTTTTTGGCTGTCGTATCATACCACTGTTTCATACTGAGCTTTCAGTGCACTAAAACTCACATAGCTGGTTCAAACTCCCTAGTTTATTACATCTCCCCTACCTTGTTCCTGTTGATTTTTTAATGTAAATGTAAGACTTTATTTTATTCTTATTAAATTTCATCTTATAAGACTTTGTTGCAAAGTTGCAGGCTGTCCAGATTTTTTTAGATCATTAATCTATCATCCACTGTGTTAGCTATGCCTCCGAGTGCCATCTCACTTGCAAATTTAAGAAGTATGCCATTTATATCTTTATTCAAGTCGCTGATAAAAATGTTAACCAGCACAGGGCCAACCATGACAATCTGGAAGCCTTCATTGGAAACCTTCCCCAAGCGGAAATTGAGCTATTCATGTTACTCTTTGGTTCAGCCATTCAGCCTGTTCTGAATTCACCTAACTGTGTTGTCTTTTAGCCCCACTGCTCCATTTTTCCTATAAGACTTGGCTAAAATTTAAGTAAACTATCCCTACAATACTGCCTTGATATACCAGGTTAGTAACCATGCCAAAAAAGGAAACAAAGATAGATAGACCTGACCTGTTCTGATGAAGTCATGTTGTTGCTTCATGTCTCCTTTTCAAGAGTATAACCACCCTTTCAATAGTAAGTACTAAAATTTTTCCACAAATCAAAAATCCAGCTCAATAGCCTATAGTCTATAGACTCTATTCTCTTTCCTTTTTAAAAAAAAACTAGATCAAAATCCAAGTTTTTCCAGTCCTTCTGCGCCATTCTTGTGTAATGTAACTTTTCAAAGATCTCCTACAGTGGTGCGGCAATCACAATGGCCAATTCTTTCACTAACTGGGATGTTCTTTTAGGCTTACTCACCTGAATCAATCAAAGACAGCTAAGTCCCCTCTTACTATCTAACTACTTCTTGTGGATATCAAGTCCCTATTATCCATTTTATCTTTCCTAATCCAAAGATCCTTCTTCTTAGAAAAATGAAAGTTGGCAAGCTCTGTCTCCTTTCTGTTGTCAGTCATGACTGTTCCAGGGGTAGCTAGGTGGCGCAGTTGATAAAGCACCAGACCTGGATTCAGGAGGACCTGAGTTCAATTCCAACCTCAGACATATAACACTTACTAGCTGTGTGACCCTGGGCAAGTCACTTAACCCCACTGCCTAGCCAAAAAAAAGAATTATGATTGTTCCATCAACCTGGGTCCTATAACTTACCCTCCTATATTCTTTTGCTCCCAATATAGGTTTAAAATTAAATCAAACGAAAAAACCCCCAAACCTTTGTTGTGCTTGGCTTTCTTTGCCAGCCTCAGCTTATTCTGAGCTAGAGTGCTCCTGAGGCTATTCTTACAACATCATTCCAGGACTTTAGAACCATCTTCTACTACCTGCCTTTGCCTCCATCTTCTGTACATCTTTTAAAAAATTGAAACTGTGTTACCTATACATTACATTAATTTCTTCAGATAGCTCCATTTCCTCATCAAAATTATTTTTTGCTACATTATTTAGACTTTCTTGAGAGACCCAATCCCTCCTAGGCTGACTTCCCTTGTAAAATGTCTGTCCACAGGAGTCTACCTATCCTTTTTCTGAACTTTCTGAAATTTGTTCTCTCTAGAATATAAGTGTGATTATATTTGGGCTTCTTCTCATCCTACCAAAAACCCTAAATTCACAAGGTTCCCAGAGACATGATTTGGACCAACTTTGGGGCCACACAGGGTTGGGGAACCTGCGGCCTCGAGGCCACATGTGCCCCTCTAGGTCCTCAAGTGTGGCACTCTGACTGAATCCAAACTTCACAGAACAAACTCCCTTAACAAAAGGATTTGTTCTGTAAAACTTGGACTCGGTCAAAAGGCCACAGCCAAGGACCTAGAAGGCCACAAGTTCCCCACCCTTGGGTCAGAGTACATAGATAGATATATTTCCTGGAGCTCAGAGCCAACTGGGCATCCAACAGTTCTTAAACCAGGCTGTATTTCTCATTGGCACATCTGCACTACAAGCAAGACTCTCTGCTGGTATTTATGAGCATGATAACTTGTCACGTGAAGAAAAGAAACAAGGACAGGGCACTGTTATATTTTCAATTTCAATCAATTCTGCTTCAAGAGTCCTAACTAGCACCTAATCAGCTTATAAGACCCGTCTAGAAAAAGAAATCACGTTGTAAAGAGATCTATCTTTAACAATGGTATGGGCCTGAGAGCGTGAGAAGTTTGTTGTTCATTTCAATTTTGTAATTTTTGTATACATATCACTTCAATTTCAGTCCGGAGTCTCAAATGTTCCTATAAAATTTAAGAAAATTGGACACGTTTCACAAAACTTCAATGCTATAGTTGTTCTACTAAAATGCTAAAAAAATGACTTTGCTTTCTTCTAAAGGAAAAGGTTTAAAAATAGAACAGCTGGTAGAGAGACCCTGTCTTTAAAGGTCATCTCACACTTATTTATATAATCATTTCCCATTTCCTCAGCTGAAAGGACTCACACAAAGGAGCTTTCTGATTTCTCACACTGGCTTGAAAGCTTGTTCTTTACTTTCTCCCCTTTGGCCATTGGGGTGTTACCACAACATGACAGCAGCCCAACAGAACAGACTGTACATTCAGAGTAGCCACACTCTCTTCAAAACATACCACAATATTATTTGGGTCCATGGACTCCACTGCATTTAGGAACTGGAACTGCACCTGCTGGTACTCTCGGTGGTGTTCAAATGTGAAGTGCTGAACTCCCCTTTTTGATTCCAGCACTCGCATTGTGATACCTAGAATTAGTTGAAAGTGTTATCAGTGAACCAAGCCAATCCTAGCCAGCTTCAGTAGGGTTATAATATCTCCGACACTCATGAAGTTACATATATTAAGTCAGCAACAAGGAATAGTGTTATGGTTAGTAAAAATTAATGAGCCTGCTTTTTCTTGAGGACTTAAAATTTACTGACAGAACTTTCCTTAATCTGTATTCTCAAATCTAAATTTCCAAATTCCAGGATTTCAATGCTCGTTTTAGAAAAAATATAAAAGTTAAAGCCACAGCTAAATCCTTTCCTAAAACATTACCAACTTAATTTAAACTGGTTTACTCTAGATATATAGAATAATTTACTCCCTTAGATGTATATAACCTGCTTTAGAAAAAACAAACAACACTAGTGGTGGTACTTTGAAATACAGCAAATGGGTCTGATTCAGAAACCTGAATATAATACTAACGGCACTGGACTGCTTTAGAAACAGTGTGTGCAAGGTTGCTGGAGGATGGGAACATCAATGCTCACATTTTAATACACGCTAGCATCCCAAAATTATATCCATGTGACATTAGGCTAAAATGAACATGTAACCTACGGACAGCCTTGAAGGGGGAAGCCATGGAAGAAGTGTAACCAAATGGGAGAGGACCATGGAATGGGACACAGGCAGCACCACCCTCTTTGCCTTGGGGTGACAGTTTGGATGGTACAGCTTTACGAGTTTTAGTCTTCTTAAGTAAAGTGGGGGAAAAGGCATCTTCTCCTCTCCTGTTCTATCAAGGATAGTGTCGGATGGGTGTCAACAGCTCGATTTTCATAAGCAAATTAAACTGTCAACTGGTACTTACAAATCCTAACTCTTCTGACCAACCTGAAAAAATCCAGCTTTGGCCTGCCCATATGAACCAACATCTCCTCACAAGTGATGCCCTGGTTGGACAGCTTAACCCAAGTCACTATTATCACCTGGACCCCACAAAGACCAAATAACTGTCCCAATACTACAGATATTGCTTGCAGCTCAAAAAAGATATTCCTTGCTAAGGATATAAGAAGGCTGGAGGATATGATAAATGGGGAGAAAACCCCCAAACTGCCCACAGTTATAACTTGTCCTAGGGACAAACACGGACATGAAGCTCCTACACAATCATGCTAAATTCACTATATATCAAATGAAACTGAACTGATTCCTATGTTGCAAAATTCCAAAGAAAAAAAGGTTAATTTTTAAAAACAAAACCTTGTTTCAGGTGGTATTTGGAAAAGTAAATACAGGGCTAGGATTAACCATAAATTTGTGCTTTAAAAGCTATTAAATTTAATAGCTATATACCAAGCATACTTCAAAATATTGTTTATTCCCCAACACTAATGTATCTGTTGCCAAAAAACATCAAGGACTTCCTTGCCTTCCCCTCCCCTTCTCCTCCACGATGCAGCAGATAAAACTCTGGACAAGAAAAGCTGCGTGCTCATTCCAGCACTCTCATTTACTAGCTATGTGACCACTGGAAAATTACTTCAATGAGTCTATTTCCTCCCCTATAAAACAGGAATAATGGTTCTTGCCAAACTCAAAGGACTGCTATGAAGATGTTACAAAACTATGTATAACAAGCATGGCCCCAAAGAAAACGTATATAATGATACTGACAATGACCACAGCCGGCACAAGACCCCATCACCATATCCTGATGAAGCCCCCACCTGTTTTGCTATAGCGGGGCCAGGTGCTCTTCGGTGTGGTCAGCCATGTGCTTCGGTGGTACTGACGCTGTCTCTGCCGAGGTCTGTGGATTAAAAAATATAGAATATGCTTTATCTTTGGGGACAAATTCCTTCAGTTATCTAATCACTGGTGAATATGTAAAAAATTAAGAATTCTTCCACATTACAAGTTGCAATACTACAGACACAAAGCTTTGTGATCTCTATAGAGTTTCCCTTAAAAATGATACTAGTGTTTTAAAGCTTAGAACTTAGAAGTAGGAACAAAACCCCAAGTTGTTTTAAGAGGTTAAATCAAGTGAAATGTTGAAGAGGTAAACAGGAAAGAGAAATCATAAGAGACTTATTAAGGCTGAACTGTTTACATTCCTGCATGGAAAGATGATATTTATAAATCATGAGACCTTTGTCAGTATTAGGGTAGTGGGAGGGGAAAAAATGATAGATAGATAGATAGATAGATAGATAGATAGATAGATAGATAGATAGATAGATAGATAGATGATAGAGGGCACAGGGTGAGTTGAAGATGAAGGGGTGATATCTGGAGATTAAAATTAAGGTGTGAGAGAAGATTATACTAGGAGAAGGAGAAAGGGAGAGGTAGAATGGGGTACATTATCTCGCATAAAACAGACAAGAAAAGGTTCTTACAGTGGAGAGGAAACAGGGGAAGGTGAGAGGAAATGAGGGATTCTATTCTCATAGGATTTGGCTTAAGGAGTGAATAACATACACACTCAATTGGGTATGGAAATCTGTCTTACCCTACAGGAAACTAGGGGAGGAAGGGGACAAGACAGCAGGGGGATGACAGAGAGAAGGGCAGATTGGGAAAGGGGTAGTCAGAAGCAAGTACTTCTGAGGAGGGACAGGGTCAAAAGAAATAGAATAAATGGAGGGGGCAGGATAGGCTTAAGGGAAACAGAGTTAGTTTTTCACAACATGTCTACTATGGAAGTGCTTTGCATAACCGCACATGTATGGCCTGTATTGACTTGCTTGCCTTTTCAATGAGGGTGGGTGGGGTGGGAAGAAGGAAGAAAATTTGGAACCCAAAGTTTTAAAAACACATGTTTAAAAAATTATTTTTCCACATGCAACTGGGAAATAAGAAATACAGGAAATGAGGTACAGAAATCTATCCTGCCCTACAGGAAAATAGAAGGGGAAGGGGATTAGAGAAGGGAGGGGGAAGAGATAGAAGGGAGGGCAGACTAGGGGAAGGGGTATTCAGAATGCATGCCATCTTGGAGTGGGGGGGGGCAAGATGGGGTTAAAATTTGGAATTCAAAATCTTTTGGAAGTAAATGTTGAAAACTAAAAATAAATAAATTTATATTATAAAAAAAAAAACCAAGTGAAATGTTGATGTCAAACACAGAAGCCAAGTATGGAGCAAAGAGACCAGAATGAGGAGAGAATCTGGGCTCAAAGCCCAGCTCTGCTCCCTGATGGTCTGGGTGACCTTAGGTAAGTCACATTACCCCTTTGGGTCTCAGTTTCCTTGTCTGTAAAACAAGAGGACACTACATGATCTCTGAGGTTCTTTCTGATCTAAACATGATTTGATTCCCTATATATCTCTGATCTGACTGTCTCTAGCAAGATAGAATATGGAGTGCCCCAAAAGTTGTGGTGCAGTTTTAAGCTATTAAGCTGTGTCCGATAAGCAATTGAAGTTTAACCTGCACTAAGACTTCTGAGACACCCTGTAGCATTTGCCTCATTCGATATGGCCAAAAAAAATCACACCCTGGATGTGATTTTCTATTAATTTTTAATAGTCTTAGGTCTAATTCTAATTTCAAATTGCCAACGCTCCTAAGGTTTAACCAAATAAATAAAAACTAGTCTTGTACCCATGTTGGGCACTTTATGCTTTACTGATGGATCAAGTCTCAGAATGACTAACAGTCGATAATAACACAGAGTCTAAAAACATGAGTTGGGAAAAATGAGATACACATTTTCACTTCAAAAAGAAGTTTAGAGCAAAGTCCAACTACTTCTAAGGACCTTCATATAGTAACACCAAGGATTTCAACCATTCTCTATAACTTTACTTACTTTTCCAAAATTAAATAAGAGAATACTCTTCCTTAGTATCCACAGCATACTTCTGAAATGCTACAATTTCTCATCAACAGCTGTTCTAAATACTATTAAAGGAGTTCAGTTGATATCAAGCTTTGTTCTCACCTCTGATCTCCAAGGACAGCTCGAGCTCCAAAATACCTTTTCAACTCTGTCTCTGGATTCAAGTGTCTAGGGAATTAAAAAGAAAAGACTGTAACAAACAAAACCAGAATTTTTTTACAAGTGAGAACTCCAAACAACAATAGAACAATGAGAATCGTGGCCTTAAAATGACAAATGGTCAACAATAAGCGATCCTGTTCATTTTGTAGTCTGAGCTACTGCCCTCTACAGGGCCAGCCACATAGTCAGGCCAGGCACATGCTTCAGGGAAAACACCACAATGACAGCTTCTATAGGACTTCCATTGTGTTGCGGAGGTATGTGACTTGCAGACCTCTCAAAAGCAGATCACCTGTCCAATTGTTAAAGATGTCTTTCACACCTTTAAAAGAGTGGCAGGCTAGCAGGACAAAGTACATCTCTACCAGTTAAACAAGATGACAAGAGTAAGCTAAACAAGCCCATCTACTCCAAGCTGGAGAGATGGGAAAATAAGAGAAGAGAGCTGAGCTCTGTATCCAAGCACTGGTCCAAAGATCAGTATCAGTGTGCACACTTCTACAAGTTAAACTAGCTATTTGCACCTTAAGAATGCCCTGTAGTGGCTGCAGGAATAAGCTATAAACCTACAGTTCAGAGAAGACAAGGCAGTCGTGCCAAACAACAACACTGTTCCAAATTCTTCCCTTACAAAGAGAGCAGGGGAGAGGAAGGCAGGAGGATGTGCACTAAGACAGAAGGAAGTGAGAGATATTGCCTAGGGAAAGCAGAAGGAAATTCATGAAGGCAAATGAGATGTAAATAGCATATTAGAGTTAAAAAAGACTGAAGATATTTTTGCTAAATTATTTTAGTTACAAAGGAGGGTTTAAGCTGGAGGAGGAGAGGGATCCCCTGAACCCCCTCATAAAAAAAAACCCACTGGTATCAAGACAAAAAGCATCACAAAAAAAAAAAAGAAAGAAAAAGGAAAAAAAATGCTGTGAAATTATAATGCCCAAGCTTGGCCCCAAAAAGGAGATATGAGACGGTTATCTCCCTAACTGTACAGGTGGGGGGGATGTAGAACACTGCATCTGATGGCAGACTCTGGCCAGTTTTGCCTAATTGTTTTCTCCTTCTTTATTCACAACTCTCTGGGAGGGGGGCTTTGGAAGAACAGATTGGGAAATATAGGTGATGTAAAAACCAGTGATACCAACAACATTCTAACTTTTTTTAAAAGTACTTAAAAAAACTGTGTAATCAAAACCTTTCCCAAGGTTATGTATGGGGTAAATAAGGCTCAGGAAATGTCACATACCTTACTGAAGTCCTGACAACTACTTAATGGCAGAACCAGGGTTTGATGAGAAGATCTTCACTCCCAGTTCAGGGTTCTTTCCCCTATACCATGTGGGACCAACCAAACCTCCTCTGTTCTAGGAATCCAAGCCACTAAAGTCACAGCCTAGAGGGTCTCCAGACACTCTGGACTAAAGAATAACTGCAGGAATTAGCCAACAGAGAGGTTTGCTAACTCGTAAAAGTCCAAATGAAACAGGTACTCACCCCAAACATGTTGGGTAACTGTCTGTTTTCCTATGAGAGTGAGTAGATCAGAAGAACTTGAAAATTAAGAGTCATGTGATTTAATATGCCCCCTCTGCCAGCAGGGTATTAGAATAAGGAATTTAGAATAAGGAAGAAAAGAATAACAGTTGATTAATTTCATCTGAAATGAAGAACCATATTTTATAGTAACAGCTTTCAAGAAACATCTTGAAGAGTTAAACAAAATAAATCTAACACTCGCCAAGGAATATTTTCCCTGCTAGAACAACAGATGGGCTCAATGTTCCAGCAAAGCCTCAATGGGGGGAAAAAAAAACTCCACCATTAGTCCGTTACCTGTGTTCAACATAGAGAAGAGGCCGACTCTCCATGATGACACTGCTATGAGACTGATTTGAGAGACCATTGGTAACTTCAATTTTCTCTAAAATGCTGTCAATATCCTCCAGACCATCATCTTCCTGAAAACACCAAAAAGATTCAAGATAGAGGAACCATCTAAGTAATTCTTTTTTAAACTTTATCACAAGAACCACTCAACACATTAGTTATCAAGTGTTTTTGTTTCATTGTTTGTTTTTTAAAGAGGAAAAACCAGGTAAACAGGTTTGGGATGTGGACTGTGCAAACATAAAATTAAAACTGTAATGCCAGGAGAGAGAAAATCATTCCTAGAATCCCATGGGTCAAGAGCATTAATTTGAAATGCATTTGTTGACAATAAACTGAACACAAAAAAATGATTTCCACTTGCTACTGAATCTCTAAGTTAACAGAAGAGTAAACAACAGAGGGTGTACAGTTCACATGAGCAGTGAGAACTACTGATATTAGAGAACTGGTCAACTACTGTATAACACAGGCTGGAAAAGGAAAAAAAAGAGGCAGTCGAGTAAGAGGATTCTTGATTTTCCCAAAGAAACACATGAAACAAGGAGAACAAACCTTGTTAAGCAATTTTTTTTCCTCTTTCAGAATTATCTAAATCATACTACTAACGAGGCCTCCTGCCAGAGCACTGCCTCAGAGCCTCGGAGCCAGGCCCCAAGACTTCTCCAGTGTTCCACAGACATTTCCCAGAACAGACACACTTTCACTGCAAGTTCTTGCTTCCCATCTAGACTCCTCCGTGCCACACCTTCACCTCTTCCTGCCCACTGTGAAGCAGGCCTCCTGGGCCTCACACAGGACATATCACCACCACCTGCTAGGAGGCTGAACCTCAAGGGAGGGCCCTGAACAGTTTAATCACCTGTCCCCTGATACTGTGCTTGCACTCATTCCTCAAATTCTCCCCAACTCAGTGATTTCAAATCCATAAAACCTGTTCCTCAACTCCAACTGCTCACTACCCAAACCCTATCCCCCTTCCCTTAGCCCCACACCCAAATATCCCACTCCAGATTTACCCATCCCTTTCCACTGTGTCCTGTGGAATGCATCCATGCTTAATAATTAACCAACTTCCCTCCTCTACCACCCACTGAACACTGGCTTGCTGCTGCTGATAAAACTGACCAGGCTGCCCTCCACAGTACTGGCTGTATTTTTGCTCACGCTCCCTGCTTCCCACTGCCATGTCCAGACGGCTCACACTATTCACACTCATCAGCATCACCCCAACTCCTCCTGCATTCACTCTACACAGACAATCTGCTGCCAAGCCCTGTCATTACCACCTTCACCATGCCTGCAGAATCTTTCCCTTCTCCCCACTCACCTAATCACCAGCCTGGTGCAGTCTCTCACCCTCATGAGTGGATTACTGCAACAGCCTCCTGGTGGGTCTCCCTGCCTCATGGCTCACCCCGAAGCTGCCCACTCTCCACTTAGCTGCCAAAAAAGCTTTTCACAGCACAGCTCTGACACACTCAGTAAAATCCTGGAGCTCCCTGCCACCTCCATGGCCCAATACAAAATCCTTTTTTGGCTTTGAAAATCTTGACAACCTTGGACCCTCCTGTTTTCCTCATCCCTTCACCTCTCCCACCCCTGCACACTCTACCTATCTTCTCAACATTCTTCACATACACTACTCCATCACCTGAGGCACCTTTTCTCTGAATGTCCCCGTGCTGGGAGTTCTCTCTCTTCTCATCTCCACCTCCTTGCTTTCTCTGCCTTCCCTCAAGACTTAGTTCAACTTGCATCTCCACAGGAGGGCTCTCCTGGTCCAGCCCCCATACCCCAACCTACCCTCTGAGATGAATTTCCAAATACTCTGTATACATCTTGTATATACACTGTTGTTTGTGTGAGCCCCTGGACAGCAGAGATAGTGTTTTTGCCTTTTTTGTTTTATTCTTAGCACAGTGCCTGGCACACAGTAAGCACTTAATAAATGCTTGCTGAGTAAAAAAATTGGGAATCAATGTTTTCAACACTTCTTTGAGAAGCGGCCAGAAGGGAGAGAAAGGAAACAATAATTAATGACAGAAAGACAAACAAGCTTTAACTCAAACCATACCGGAGTTTCTCCTATTGTGGTTTTCTTATTTTTCTTCTTCTTCTTCTTCTTCCGTGGCTTGTTGTTCAGATTAGGCTGTCAAAAGAACAACAACACTGTGATCCACAGAAAAAGATAAGGAGCCAGTGCACTGAAAGGGCTGCCACATCAATAGGGAAGCAGGATCACAATTTCTGAGGAGACTATGGATATGAAAACTCAAACATATATGATATGGTAGGAGTAGGCTTCCCGCCTCTGCTCCCAAATCCCCTAATGGGAATATGATTAAGAAAAAATAAATATAGAAGTAGGGACTAGAGGAAAAAAGAGAGAGAGAAGACAACTTTTGTGAGCTTTCTCCCTTTTAAGGGCATGTTTGTTAGAGCAAAGGCAGCACATAGTAAGAGTAATCCAGTGCTGGAGTTAGGAAGAGCAAGATCTTGAGTAGGTTCAGGTATCAGGGGGATTGAGCCTTGCTCCATTCCTCATCATGCTGCTGAAAAAAGCTGAAGAAAATCACAAAACCAAGATGACTGGAGCCACTGCAAGTTTATGTTACATAATCCCAACTAGGTAAAGCAATTCTTTTATACCTGCCTAAATCAATTCACTATCTCACTCACCACAGCTTTTCCAAATCCTCTCTCACATCTTTCCTGGCCCTGCCCACCCCACCTCCAGGTAAGAATCTTTCTTATATGAACTAAGGCAAAGTGAGGTGAGCAAAACCAGGGAACAATCATCAGAGTAATAGCAATATTGTAAAGATAAACAATTGTCAAAGATTTACTAACTGTTCAATATAATGATCCGGTGAAACTCCCCAGGACTCATGATAAAAAATGCTTTCCACCTCCAGTGAACTGATGGACTCTGAATGCAAATTAAAGCATATTTTTTTCCTTTATTTTTCCCTGCCTTTTTTTTGGTGGGGGGAAGAACATGGCTAATATGGAAATGCTTTGCATGATTTCATATGTGTAACAGGTATAATATTTCTTGCCATCACAATGGGTCACAATGGAGAAAGGGAGAGAATTTGTATCTGAAAAATGTTTAAAATGTCTCCCCATCCTCAAAAAACCCTGCCTTGATCCTTCCACTCCCACCAGCTACTATCCTCAATCTTCTTCCCTTTTGTGGCTAAACTGCTGAAAAGACCATCTATAACAGAGGCCTCCTTGCTCTCTTATCTCTCTGCAGTCTGGCTTCTGATCTCATCACTCAACCAGCACTCTCCCTCCAAAGTTACTGATGATCTCTTGACTGCCAAATCTAATGTCTTTTTCTCAACACTCGGCCTTTCCGACCTCTGCAGCCTCTGACACTGCTGATCACCCTCTTCTCTTCAATTTCTCTGTAGGTTTTGGACACTGCTTTCTCCTGGTTCCCCTCTTACCTGTCTGACTACTGCTTCTGTCTCCTTTGCTAATCATTATTCAAGTCATGTCTGCTAACAGTGGAGGTCCCCCAAGGCTCTTGGTTTTCTCATCAGCTCCCATGGCTTCAATTCTCATTATCAATTATGAGCCTCATGTGCTTAGAGCTGATAGATGCTAATTGATAAATTATCATCTTTACGCACATTCGTCTCAGATCCATTTATCCAGCCCTAACCTCTCTGCTGACCGACCTCTAGTCTCACATCTCCAACTGCCTAGCAGATATCTTGAATTAGATGTCTTATAGACATCTTAGACACAACATACACAAAAATGAACTCATTCTATTTACCCCCAAACCCTCCCTTCTTCCTAACTTCCCTATTACAATCAAGAGCACCACCATCCTCGACTCCTAACTCTCTCACCTCCCCTATCCAGTCAATGCCCATGTCCCATCACTTCCACCTTCATAAAATCTCTCGTCTACACCCCTCTTTTCTCCTCTGACACTGCCACCAGCCTGGCACAGGCCCTCATCACTTCTCACCTGCACTATTAAGCTAGCCTGATGGCTGGTCTCCCTTGTTCAAGTCTCCCCACTTCATTATGCTGTCAAATTGATCTGCCTAAAACATCACATTTTGGTCTGACCATATCACTCCCCATTCAATCAAGTCTGGTGGTGCTTCCTTACCTCCAGGATCAAACGTAAAATTTTCTGTTTGTCATTCAAATCCCTTTATAACCTGGTCCCCTCATACCTTTCCAGTCTTCTTACACTTTACTCGCTTTGAAAGGCTCTTTGATCCATTGACACTGGCCTCCATCTCCTAACTCCAAGCCCTTTCACTGGCTGTCTCTCATGCCTGGGACTCTCCCACTCCTCATCTCTGCCTCCTGGCTTCCTTTAGGTGTCAGCTAAAGTCCCACCTTCTGCATGAAGGCTTTCCTAATCCTCATTAATCTTAGTGCCTTCCCTTTGAGACAACTCTCAATTTATCCTGTCTGTATCATGTTTGTACCTAACTGTTTGCATGTTGTCTCTCCAGACTACTTGAGAGAAGGGACTGTCTCTTCCCTTTCTCTGTATTTTCAGCACTTAGCACAGAGCCTAGCACATTGTAGGTGCTTAAGAAATGCTAGCTGACTGGGCTATGTAATTACTAGGTTCCAATCTACTATACCTTGACCTTCCTTTCAGCAGATGGGAAAGATGTCCTATAAAGAGCAGTAAGTGTTCCTCATTCCAAGTACCTGTGAACTAGCTGTTGCCTGGTTTTCACGTGGAACACCTTCTCCATCTCTTTCTTGGCTGACTTCTAGTTCTCCATTTTTAGTGTCACTGTTATTCTCTGCGCCCTCTTGTACCTTCAGTCTGTAATCTTCTCCCCTTGCTTTGGATAAAAGTTCATCCTCAGGTTCTTCACTGGTTATCTGTGTCAGTGAAAAGAAAATAAATTCCAAAAGTCTTGGGAGAAATGATTGCATTGTAGATCTACTAAGTGGGGAAAACGATGGGTGTGGGCCACAGTTTGAGATACTAAGCTATATATTAAACAAGAGAATAGGAAATACAAGCTACTTTCAAAGTTGGCTCTTGGGGTGGGAAAGAAACTTAAGTTCCAAGTATTTATTACTAAACAGCAGTAATGTGTAATGTAAAAACATAGCCAACATGAAGGATTTCTCACAGTTGGAATGAAGGCAAAGGCTGTAGATTAAAAATGAAAAGTAATTTTGGAAATCTGCATTGTAGCCATATATCCTCTGCTGACATCCTGATTTGTTACATCATTGTGGCAGAAGGAGGTGCCCTTCTTGAAGAAGACACCAATAGGCAGGTGCAAAGGTTTTGAATCCAAAGAGAATGATCTTTCCTTCTTCCAAACTTACCTATTACCTTTAAGGACATCGATATTCTTTTAGTCACCCAAGTTCAAAAACTTGGTGTCATCCTCAACTCTTTTCTCTCACTCACCCCACCCACATCCCATAGCCAATCAGTGGCCACATCTTGTCATTTCTTTCTAAATGAAAGCCATTGCAAATGTCCTTTTCTCTCCATTTCTACAGCCACCACCTATATCAGGCCTTCATCACCTCTCATCTGGACTATTACAACAAACTCTTAATTGGTATCCTGCCTCAGGTCTCTCCCCAAACCAATTTATTCTCCACACAGCTGCCAAAGCAATTTTCCTACACTTTAGATCTTACTGTTACCTCCCAACTGAATAAACTCCAGTGGCTTCCTGTTACTTCTATCATCAATCACAAACTTTTCTGTTTAGTTTTGAAAGCTCTTTACAACCTGGCCCCTTCCCATCTTTCCACACATTACTTCCCTCCAGATACTCTAAAGTCTAGCCAGTGACCTCCTTAGCTTTTTCTTTGTATCCCTAGGGCTGAGCATAGTACCCCAAACAAAGAAAGCACTTTAATAAACGCTTTTTTGATGGACTGATTGTTGACTAAGAACCAGACTACATAAATTCATAAAGTATTGTCACCAGAGAGGTTATTACAAGTTGATGAATTCCTTACAGAAACAGCAACTCATGTAACCATGTAAGGACAGGGTGATTAACTGGGGTTTGTGAATTCTTTTAAAAAAACTGGTAACTTTATTTCAATGTAATTAGTTTTGATTTGTAACCCTATGTATTTTATGCATCTAAAGACAACCATTCTAAGAGATCCATAGGCTTAACTAGACTGCCAAAAGGCACAAAAAGATAAAGAACTCATAATTTAAAATATTTGATACTTTAGTAGAAGTAACATCTGATCACCCAATAAATTCCAGTAGCTTCCCATTACCTAGGATCAACCATAAACTCCTCTGTTAGACATTTAAAGATCTTCACAGGGTGGTACATCTTGGCAGGAGAAGACTGACAATGGTCTAGACAGGTGGTGAGCAGGGCCTGCAGGAGGGTGGTGGCAATGGGGATAGAGAAGAGGGGACGGACACCAAAGATTTTGCAGGGGTGGAATCAAATTCAAACCAACTGTTACAAGTGAAGGAGAGGGAAGGATCAAGGTATAACCTCAAGGTTTTGAGCATTAATAACAGGATGAATGGTAGAACCACTAACAGAAATAACAACATCGAGAGAAGGAGCCAATTTTGGGGGAAGATCTTAGGTAAACTATGGGACATGCTGAATTTATGGTCAGACTTCTAGGCCCACATTACTAACCACCTGCTGGACGACTCCTCCACCTTGACTGTCTTTCTTTTTGCTTATATTAGTGCCCCTGATTGTAGCGCAGTGCCTAGTACACAGTAAGCACTTAGTAACTCCCTCTCTTCCTTCCCCAGGCATCTCAAAACGTAACAACATATTTTCCCCAAGACCTCCTCCCCTTTTCTGTTGATGGCACCATCTTTTCAGTCATCCAGGACCAGAAATTTGGGTGACTTTTCCCCCTCCATCAACCCCCATATCAAACAAATTGCCAAGTCCCACTGATTATGATTCCGTATTATCTACCTCCTCTTCCAATTCTTTTGCATTTCTCTAGTCTACATTGCAGCCCTCCCCAAGCACAAAGTAATCTCCTTGAAGTCAGAGAATGTATTGCTTTTATTCTTTGTGACTCCAGCCACCAGCACTTGTAGGCACTTAATAAATATGAAATGGGGGGGGGGGGAGCTAAGTGCCATAGTGGATAGAGCACCAGCCCTGAAGTCAGGAGGACCTGAGATCAAATCTGGCCTCAGACCAAACACTCAACACTTACTAGCTTTGTGACCTCAGGCAAGTCACTTAACCCCAATTGCCTAAAATAAATAAGTTAATAAGAAATGACATTGAACCCTTCCCAGACACAGAGGCTACAGCACATTTTCTGAATTAAATTCACTCAATTATTGGAGGTGGGGTAGAAGAGGGTAATGGCTCTGGGTTCAGGAAGACAGGCTCCAATCCTGCCTGTGTGACCCAGGAATGAAACCACAGGACCCAACCAAACAAAAAAATTCAAAACACAATCACGGTGCCTAGACAACTCTGTTTCAGAAGTTTTACAATTCTGATGGCAGGCTTTGACACCGAGTTCATGATTTTTCAAATGATGTGTTAATTTTGTTCATCAGCCTCCTCACCCTCTATGACTTCCATCTCAATCATCAGACCTTCGGTCTCATCATCACCAAGTGTCCTCCCACCTTGATCCTGAGCTTTTTCCATTTCTCCCTCTTCCTCTCTCCTCCTAGTCCTACTCTTCACCTCTCCTATGCCAGCCCACCATTTCTTCCCTTCAACGTCAGCCACACAAATGTACAGTTTAATTACATGCCACCTCTACCCTTGACTCTCTCGTCCTCCTTGTCCTATCCTGGACATGACTTCCAAGTCCTAACTCTGGGTGACTCTTTCATCCCTACTGACGTGCTGCAAATGCTCCCAGAAAAAGTCAAGCAACCAAGACAAATGCCATCATTACCAATTTGCTATTTGTTTAAACAGGGTTCTTAATGCTACACAGCAATTCTTTTATTCCTTCTTCTGATTTAATTTAACAAGTATACATTAAGCAACCTATTACATGACAGACACAGTATTAGGGACTGGGGATGGAGACCAGTCTCACTCTCCCCAGTGGCTAGTTCAACCTTTTCATTTCTTCTCAAAACTCCTAACTATGCTGACTACTATGGAAGTGTTTTGTGTGACTACACATGTATAACCTGTATCAAGTTGATTGCCTTCTCAATGAGGGTGGGTGGGGAGGGAGGAAGGGAGAGAATCTGGAACCCAAAGTTTTAAAAACAAATGTTGAAAAAATTGTTTTCACGTGCAACTGGGAAATAATATACACAGGCAATGAGGTATAGAAATCTACCCTACAGGAAAACAGAAGGGGACGGGGATAAGAGAAGGGGGGAGAACAGAAAGGAGAGCAGATTAGAAGAAGGGGTATTCAGAATGCACGGATGGGGGGAGGGATGATGGGGAGAAAATTTGGAACTCAAAATCTTGTGGAAGTAAATGTTGAAAACTAAAAATAAATTAATAAAATTTTTTAAAAAAGAAAAGAAAAACAAAACTCCTAACCATGCTCTCCCACTTCTCTCTCACCAGAGGGGCCCTCTCCAGCTTTTCCAAGAAAATAAAGGCCACCTGTCACCACTTTCCTTTTCTCCACTCCACAGCTCGTCACCATTTCCCATTCTCTTCTTTGCTGTCACCTCTCTGGGGAGGCAGCCCTATTCTTGGCCACAGTAAACAATTCTACTTATGCCCTCAACCTCATCCCCTCCCACCTCTCCAGGATCTTGTCTCTTTGCGAACTCCTCCTCTCTCTTCTCCAATCTCTCTCTTTATCCACTGTTTCTTTCCCTGCCACCTACAACCATTTCTCAGGTCATTCCCATCTTTAAAAAAACCCTTCACTTGATTCTGTCATCCTCTCAAGCTATCATCCCATATCTCTTTCTCCCTTTCACAACCAAACACCCACTATCTATACTTGTTGCTTCCATTTCCTGACCTCTCACTACTTCTCAACCTCTTGCTACCCCTTCTGACTTAAACTGTGCTCTCCAAGATTAAAAACATCATCTTAACTGATCAATTCAATGCTTTTCCCCAAGTCTTCATTCTACTAGTCCTCTCTGCAGCTTGAGAAAGCATCAACTAGCCCCCTTCCTATATCCTTTTTCTTCCCTTGGTTTCCAGGGCAAGGCCCTCTCTAGCTATTCTATTCAGTCTCCTTTCCTGGATCATCATTCAACTCCTAACAATAAATATTAGCATCCCCAGGATTCTCTCTTGAGCCCTTTTCTTTTCTCTCTCCAAATCCTCTATTTTGGTGATGTCATCACGTTCTACTGGTTCACTACCATTTCTATGCGCAGAACTCTCAAATGTAAATATTCAGCCTAATATCTCTCCTGAATTCCAAAGCTTCAATTTTATCTGCTAGCTTTATGCTAGCTGGGCATCTCAAACAAGTCCAAAACTGGATGCATATCTTTATGAATCCAACTTCTTTATTTCTGTTGAGAGCAGTAGCATCCATTCAGTCTTAGTCTTTCTTGGTCTCTCTCTCTCTCCTATCCTGATTCCCCCTAGTTGTCAATGCTCCTAAAATTACTTTGCATATACTTTTTAGTTGCCACCATATGTGCTGTCAAGTGTCTGACAGTAGGGACTGCATTTTTTTTTTGTCTTTGTATCCCCAGTTGCTGGCATAATACCTCACCTCTGCCACTTCTAAGTATGTGCTCTGACAGATCAAACGCAACTGCCAATCCACATCTGACTTTTTCCATGATTCCTAGATTTACAGAATGTTAAGAGCTAGAAAGGCGCTGAGATATTGCCCAATCCAACTCTCTCAAATGCCTCACATATTTCCTATAACACTTCAGTTTCTTCATATGTTATGCAGGAATAAGAGTACTTGTACTACTTAACCTCCATTATGAAGATCAAATGGGACAATTTATCTAAGTGCATAAACCATATAAATACTATATAAACATAAGCTTTTATTACTTGGATACAGACCTTCTGTTAGTATATCATAATCATCATCATAGTAAAACTCTTAGTGGTGATAAAGAAAGCTTCCTCTTCCCCCCATTACTGTTCCCCAAATCCCTCCTCCTATTTACTACATGAGTGACCTTGGCAAGTAATTTTATGATCACAGAATCCAGAAGGGACATTAGGGATCATCTAGATTAGATCTCTAATGTTTCTTCCAGCTCTAGAGCCTATTCAACTAAAAAAACCTGATCTAATGGCTACAATACATACAAAGCAATCTGTTAGGAAGTAGGGGATAAATTTTCAAAGAGCTGACATTCTACTGGGAAAAATAAAGGGCACAAATATAAGTAAATATTTTTAAAAGGGGAGGGCAGCTAGGTTGTACAGTGGATAGAGCACTGGCCCTGAAGTCAGGAGGACCTGAGTTCAAATCCAGCCTCAGACTAAACACTTGACACTTATAACTGTGTGACTCTGGACAAGTCACTTAACCCCAATTGCCTAAAAATTTTTTAAAAAAATTTTTTTTAATTATTTAAGGGGCAGCTAGGTGGCTCAGTGGATACAGCACTGCCCTTGAAGTCAGGAGGACCTGAGTTCAAATCCAGTCTCAGACCACACACTTGACACATAAGCTGTGCAACCCTGGGCAAGTCACTTAACCCCAACTGCCTTAAAAAAAAAGGCAAAAAAAATTATTTAAAAAAGAGGGAGCACTACTAAAGAAGGAGTTATCCTTTTTTGTGTATATCACAGTCCCCTTTAGCAAGCTGGTGAAGCCTATGGACCCCTTCTCAGAATATTTTTAAATATATAAAGTAAAATCTATGAGATTTACAAAGGAAACTAATTACAGCTGTCTATTTTTTCTCTCTCTATTTTAACCTGGGATCCATGGGAATCTGGGAACTTGGACAGAAAGAAATACATCTACAGATTTATTTGTATTGATAGTTCGATACAGACCAAGAGATATAGACAGGTATCTATGTATCTAGATATGTAGCTAGATCTAAATACATAGATATAGGTAGGTACCAATGTAGGTATAGATACAGGCATCTATACAGATAAGTATTTATGTAGGTAAATTTAGACATAACTTGTATAGATGAATCTAGATATAGACATCTATAGATACAGATAAATATCCATCTATAGACATAGATATTGACATATAGACAGATATCTATCTAGATAAAGGTGTCTGTAAATAGATTTAGATATAGCTCTATCTAGATAGCTATAAGCAGATAAGTAGACACGTAGACAGATAAAGATACACACAAATTTTTTCCGTGCAAGTTCATGGACCACCCCCCCCCAAGGACTCCTGGTTAACAGCCCAGGAGAGGCTATCAGGAAAGGCCTGGGGTAGGGGGCGGCACGGGGCTAAGAATTCCACAGGCTACGGATGAGGAAGGAGGGCGTCCCAGGCAAAAAGCCGGGGGCTGGAGATGGAATGCCCCGGGATCTTCCCGGCCCCAGCCCGGCGGACTCCTCCCCCGCCACGCCTTCGACGTGGCCCCGACATCGCCCCGCCCCCGACTCCTTCCCGGTTCCTCGGCGCGCGCCCGCCCCGCCCCTCACGCCAACGCCTCCGGCCCCGCCCTCTCCTCACCTCCCCTTCCCCCACTCCCCCCCACGCTCCTTCCTTCTCCCCCTCCCCCGTCCGGCCCCTCCCTTCGGCGACTCCTCACCAGTTCGTACAAGTTGCTAATGGCGCTGCGCTCCCTCCTCCCCCCTCCTCCGGCGGGGGTCGCTCGGCAGCTGCCCCACTTCCTCGTCTTCCTCCTCACCGCCGTCATCACGATCCTCGAGGCCTAGGCGCAGGGCCCCAGGCTCCAGGGGCTCCTGGCCCCGCTGTTCTCCCCGCAGCCTCCGTAGGGCCCGGCGCGACATAAGACCCAACGGCCGCGGACCCGCCGCGCTTGCGCACTGCCGCTCCAGGGCGTGGGTGTGGGGAGAATGCTGCGCGTGCGCTCTGCAAGCCGTGGGCCTGCCTTGGCTTCCCTTAGATGGCGTGACTCGGCAGCCAGCCACGCCCGCTCTTAGGCTCCCGTGAGCTTTGACCCCGCCCGAGATTGGCTGCACTGGCAGCCAATGTCTGCTCAGGAGGTCGGGGGCAGGGGCGGTTCTTAGCCACCTGCAGCGCTTTCAGATTCCCGTAAATCTGTCATTAGTTTAGGGTTTCCAGTTTATTTAAAAATTTTAACCTTCTGAACTTAAACACCACAATAAAATGGGGCAGCTAAGGGGCGCCGAAGTGCTCAGAGCTCTGGGCCTCGAGTCAGGAAGACCTGGGTTCGAATGCAGCCTCAGACGCTGCCTAGTTGTGTGACCCTGGGCAAGTCATTTCACTTTTTACAGCTCTAAAATGCGGGGTAATTGTAGCACCTGCCATCCCAGGCTTGTTGTGAGGATCAAATGAGATGTTTGTAAAGCAGTCTGCAAATGCCAGGCATACAATATAAAAAACCATACATGAAACTGCAAAACTTTATTATAATAGTTTTTAACAATATGTATGACACTTTGGAAATCACAATAATTTTTATCAGATGTTCACATTCTATAAAAGTAAATAAAAGATAAACTATAACAAGTTTGCTCCTTATCTAAAATTAATTAGCTGATAAGGAAAGCAAAAAAAACCTATCTGCAATATCCCTGTAAAAAGGCAAAAAAGCAATCTCTTCTGAGTTAAGAAGAAAAAATGTATTCTATGCTGTTATAAATAATATATATTTATGTATGTATCATATATGTATACAGTCCTTGTGACATGAAATATTCAGTGCTTCTATGTCCCTTCATCTAGTAGTGTCCTGAGGGCGGTGCATGGGATAGAGCACCGGCCTTCACGGTTAGGAGGACCTGAGTTCAAGTCCAGCCTCAGACCAAACACTTGCCACTTACTAGCTGTGTGACCCTGGGCGAGTCACTTAACCCCAATTGCCTAAAAAATATAAAATAAATAAATAGTAGTGTCCTGCACCATTAAGATGGATAACACGTACAGAGTTTTGAAAACCATAAGGAGATAACATAAATGCTACCTATTAATATTCTGAGTATTGTTATTATAGTTGCAATACCTCACCAGATTTTTAATCTGGATAAAACAGACCCATTGATGGAGTCCCACCTGCCAAAAGCCCAACAAACATAGTGTTGCTATATACTCTGTACTCCTTATAGGCCAGATGCTGGCACACTATTTGGTAACTCTATCTCATAGTAAATTCAACTTGTAATTTTAAAAGCTTTCATGCTTATTTGTGATGTTGGCATGCTGTCTGGTAATTTGATCTTATAGTAAATTCAACTTGCAACTTTAAAAGCTGTCATACTTATTTGTGAATCTTCCTTTGCAGTTTTAAAAAATGCTTAAACTTCCCTGCTTTTTTTTTTTTGGCCCTCTCTCCCATTTACTTCCAGTTAGAGAAAAAAAAAGGAAAGAGAAGACTTTACAAGAAAACAAGCAAAATAAATTCCCACATTGGCTGTGTCTGATAATGTAACATCTTATTCTGATTCCTGAGTTCATCACCTCTATTAGGGAGAGTCATTGTGGTCAGTCACTGTTGTGCCTTTCACAGTTCTTTTTGTTTATATGTAATATTGTTTCTGGTTCCTGCTTACTTCACTCTGCATGAGTTCATATAAATCTTTCCAGATTTCTTTGAAACAGTCCTTTTCAAAGCTATCAATAAGAAAATCACCATACACACCAAAATATTTACAGCAGCACTTTTTTTGTGATAGCAAAGAATTGGAAACAAAGTAGATGTCCATCAGTTGGGAATGGCTAAACAAACTGTGTTGTACATGGATGTAATAGAATACTACTGTGCTGTAAGAAATGGACAAATGTGGTGAATGCAGAGAAGCCTGGGAAGCCTTCCATGAACTGATGCAGAGTGAAGTCAGCAGAACCAGGAGGCCATTCTACCCAATGACTACAACAATGCAAATGAAAAGAACGACTCCTCAAAAAATCAAAAGTTAATGTAACAAAATTACATAGATCAAGCAGTACTCAAATGGAGAGATATGAAAAGACATCCCCAATTTACCCCTTCGTGGAGGTTGGCAATCCACAGGTATTACACGTTGAACATGTTTTCAGATTTTTTCAATGTATCCATCAGTTGGGCTGATTTTTTTTTCTCTTTAAAAAAATGCTATTTGTTATATGAGATGGCTCTCTGGGAAAGAGAAGGGGACAGATACTGTGGATAACTATGGATGATGTAAGAAACGGAAGATATCAATAGAAACTCATTAAAAAAAGAAACTATCCTTTTCATCACTAAATCCAGTTCAGATCTCACCTCTGATACTACCTGTGTTGGCTGCGATTAAACAGCAACATAAATAAGAGCACAGATTCACTGAAATATTAATGTTTACTGTCCCAAGGAGATATTTGAGGGGCAGGTTTTGAGGTGCAGAGACAGCAGGGTACAGTGACTTGTGGACTTTGGGTCTGAATCCCACCTTGACTATTTGATGACACCCCCCCCGAAAGTCATTTCATCTTTGTAGGCCTCAGTTTCCTCATTTGTAAAACAATAAAAACACATACCTTTTCCAGGTTTGTTGGGAGTGTAAAATGAACTAATATTTGCAAAGCACTTTGAAAACCTTGAAGAGCCAACCAAAAAGAGACTTCTTCAAGGCCAGACTGAAAGTCATAGGCTGTGTTGTCATGGAGTCTGAGGGGCCCTCCCTGGTCTGGTCTGGTCTGACACATACCCAGAAGAGAATGCCCACTACATGATGCCCTCATCCTCCCCATTCCTACCTCTCCTTTATCTGTAGTTTTTTCTCTATTACTATGTAACCTCCTAGACTTCTTCCCACTCCTGTGAATAGGTTTTGGAGGGGAGGGGGTCCACAGGTGTGGACCAATGCATGTAACATCAGCTTTTTTGGGATGTATTGATTGGTTTTACTGAATTTTAAAAATCTTTTTTCTCTTTTTTGGCTGTTAAGGGTAGTTTGAGCCCACCCAGAGACCCATGTCTTAAAAGTGTTTTTAGAGCAGCTAGGTGGCTATAGTGGATAGAGCATAGGTCCTGGAGTCTGGGAGACTCATCTTTGTGAGTTCAAATCTAGCCTTGGACACTTACTAGCTGTGTGACCCTGGGCAAGTCACTTAACTTTGCCTCAGTTTCCCATTTGTAAAATGAGCTGGAGAAGGAAATGGCAAACCACTCTGGTAGATCTCTGCCAAGAAAACCCTAAATGGGGTCATGAAGAATCAGACACAACTGAAAATGACTGAACAATGACCATAACTTTTAGCATGGTGCCTGGCACACAGTAAATACTTAATAAAGTGTTTACTACCTCTCTAATCTAGTTATTCAGACTTAGCTTGAAGACCACCAGTGAGGGGGCAACACCCTGTCTCCCAATGCAATCCGTTCCCCTTTAGCATATCTGTAATTATTAGGAAGTTTTTCCTGACTTCAAGCCTAAATCTGCCTTTCTGGAGTATTCCTTTTTTGGGGGGTAGGGGTACAGGCAATCAGGTTAAGTGACTTGCCCAAGGTCACACAGCTAGTGTGTATCTCAGGCTGGATTTGAACTCAGGTCCTCCTGACTTCAGGATTGGTGCTCTATCCACTGTGCCACTTAGCTGCCTTCCCCCACTCCCCACTCCCAATTGGAGTATCCCTTTGATCATTCTTAGTCTGCTCTCTGAGGCTAAACATAACAAGTTTAATCTCTTTCCATATGACAGCTTTCAGATATTTCAGGACAGCTATTTGTCTGTGCCACACACTCCTACAGGCCCTTAGCCATCATCATCTACAATGTGCCAGGCACTGTGCTAAGCACTTTATGATTATTATCTTATTTGATCCTCACAACAGGCCTGGGAGGTAGGTGCTGTTATTACCTCTTCCCCTTTTTACAGATGAGGAAACTGAGGCAGACAACAGGATCTCACAACTGGCGTGTGTCTGACTCTGGATCCAGCTGCTCTAGAGTGAATTGCTGTCCAGTGAAACTATCACCTATCCAGACCTGAAGGCTATGTTCTTCCCTGCAGCCGATAATCACATGAGCTTTTTTGACTGTCACATCACATTATTGACGTATTGCTCTGGTAGTCCACAAAAAAAAAAGTTTTTCAGATGGACTTCTATCTAGCCATGCCCCCTCCCCCATCTTATAGTTTCATGAATATAGGCAGTTGGGGGTTGAGAAGGGGAGAAACTTCTTTTGCCAGTGCAGGTCAGATCCTTTGGGGCAGTACAGTGTCTTAGATTAATTGTTTTGGGGATTGAGCATAATTGAGCATTGCCTTACCCAAGAACACTTAGTCAGTGTGTGTCTGAGGCAGGACTCCATAATTGTATAATCAATTTTCGGAATTGTGTCCAAAAACACAGAACCCAAGGAAGAGGCTGAAATTTGGGGCTCCTGGGGGTGAAATAAACATATGGGATTAAGAATCCATCGACAAGCATTTATTAAGCACCTAGAGGACGCAAAAACAAAAATGAAACCTGTTACCACCCCCAAGGAGTTTATAACTGTGTGATTAATTTCAGTTTGTAATAGATCAGCTTGGAAGCCTTTATAATCCATTGCTGCGACTAAATATAAAGTACTGCAGGGGAGGGAAAGCAAGGATACAATATGGCACCTATTTAGGCAGTATATATCATGTATAACGTAGAAGCCTGACTTTGCGGAAAATTTAATGGCTAATAGACCCTTGCCTCATGTTCTGGCTTCCTCCTTCCAGAGGTCGGTGTGGTTCTGACTGGTCAATCTGAGGCACTAAGTCCCAGCTAACCCTCAATGGGAATAACTGATGTAACCTGCCTTTTCATATAAATATCTGCAAGTGTTACAAAACAGTGTTGTATCTTAGCACCACACCTGGAAAATGGATGCAATCACTTAGTGCTGTTGCTGTTTTGTTAACAACGGGCACTGCC